GGCCGGCTGCGCATGCTCTATATGTCTCTCCCGCGGATGATGTCGGTGGGTGAGTAGTGTGGGCGGACCCTAACCCAGCGCCGAGGGACATCGGCGCTGGATACAGGTAAGTCACTGAAGGGGTTTTAACCCCTTCAGCAACTTGGGATGGGGAGTGGGAGGGAGAGAGGACCTGCCGTGCCAGGAAAACGGTTTGTTTTCCTGGCACTGGAGAGTCCTTTTAAGCAGGGTTCTATTTCAGTTGCAAATCGTATCAACCCACAATCCATTAATCAAAAGAATCCAATAGAAGGGCAGAAATTATAGGCAGAGAACAAAATGGCCAGTGACCACATAGTGAGATTTGGCTCAAGGAAGAAAACATGATAAAAAAGTAAGTGTCAAAGGGAAGTATAACCATTAAAGGGACACTATAGTTACCAGAACAACTACAGCTTAATGTAGTGGTTCTGCTGCCTATACCCTGTCTCTGCATGCATTATAATGTAATTTACATTTTTCATTCCTGCCTAGTAACACCTCTAGTGAGTCACCCAGATGGCCACTAGAGGTACTTTCTGGATCAGTTTGTGCAGCACGGACGTTCAATGTCAACATGCTCTGCATGGAAATACTGAACGCTCCTCATAGAGAGACATTGAAATTGAGATAGTCAATTTTGGTGATCTCAGCCATGGGAGCGAGGCCAGCTGCAAGGAAACCCACACAGTGCTAGAGAAAGGGCAGTACACTCACCTTTTACTCCAAATCCTGCGCTCAGACTCCCACCTGGCAGCAATGACCATACTACACATCTTAATGTTCCTTTAAGATGCAGAGTACATAAGGAAAACAAAAAGAATAAAATAACATGACCGTCAGTAATTCTGTTATACATTAAAGGGGCACTAAGACAGGATTAAGAGTACCTACAAGGGATTTTTAACTATTTAACAGTGAACAATTTCTAACTATGGGTATAGGTATTTTCCCAGCTCTAATGTTTTTGTGGGCATTTATTAAATAGGAACAAACATATACTATCTTTCCCTGCAGAGAGCACATGGTCCCCTAAAGCAGTGGCCTTCAACAGGTGGCCTGCAAGAATTTATTGCCGGTCCGCGAAAGCTTTCACCGGATTATACCGCTACAGTGTAGCGGTAGAGTTGGGTAAAAGCGGTCACAGACTGGCAATAAATTGCTGCAAAATATTTCCCCGGGGCTATGATCATAGCACCGGGAACTGTGCCTCCCTCTCCCCTGCAGGACCGGAAGGAAGATCAGAGATCTCCCTCACCAGCCTGCTAGCGGTGTAAAGCTGCAGTCGGTGGGGAGGGAGAGAGAGGACCCGGGTGAGCTATAACTTGCAGCTCCGTCGGGTTCTCCTCTCACGAGCTCTGAGCGTTGCTGTAGCTCCGAATCTAGTGAGAGTGAACTCTAGCCTGAGCTGCTAGAGTTCACTCTCACCACTCCGACCACTAGGGCTTCACCACGGACCACCAGGGATTACTACTGTCCCCCCTCCCAGGCAAAGATAAGCAGGGAGGGGGATATCAAAATAATTTTTATTAATTACATTTTTTTTTAAATAATTTATTAATCTACCCTCCAACCCCACAATAATTCTTCCCCAAACACACACACACACTGCCCCTCCTCACACACACTGCATCCCTCACACATACCATTGGTTTTTATTTTTGGCTGACGCCGGTCCGCAAAATCTCTCTCTTTTCGTTGTGCCGCGGGTATTGTAGAACACTGCCCTGAAGCACTTCAGTTTGCTTCAAGGGAAATCACCACTTTTATAAATGGCATATCACCCTCCCAGCTATCCGCATACAGCATCAATGTTAGCACTCCAGCCCTGTATAAAAATATCCTATATAATTTAACTCTGTAGCCAGCATCTTCTGACCTGTGACAAATGTCTTAACTTCTTATACTTAACTCATAATGGTAGTCCCTGTACAATGCAGTTACCCATACAATACTCGGTGCTAGGTATAATAAAGAGATATCCAGAGAATACTCGGTGCTAGGTATAAAATAAAGATAGCTATGCAATGCATCTAACAGAGTACAATGCAATACATGGAGCTGAGCAGAATACACCCATTCAATACACACTTATTGGCACAAGACAAAGATACATGTAAAAAAGCTCACGGGTCAATTAGAGATAACTATGCAACAGACAGAGCTGTGTAAAATACAGAGATCTAACAGCTGGGTACAATAAGGTATTAAGCATAACTATCTCACACAGACAGACACGGTGACTTATTACACAGAGCTGCAGTACAGTGATACCCACACTGTACAATATCTCTGTATAGCTCTCTAGCTCTCTCTTACTGATCTCATCTCCAGTAATGATCATGCGAAGGCAACTTAAGCTTTATAGTAATTGTAGCAACTGCTGCTAGGAAACTTGTCAGCTTTATTAAAGGTCAACAGTCACCTCAAACGTATTTTTAATATAATAATTCTTTCATTAAATGTTTTTAAAATGAAGTATATGGAAAATAAAAACACTTAAAAAAAAATAAAGGGGAAGAACGCACAAAGAATTCACAATTTTATTATATGAGCGGACCCTTCAGCCATATACATTCACCTTGGTCAAACAGTGTTTCCCTGCTTCTGTACATGGAATGATGCAGGGAATAATCACAGACACCAACTATTGCTTTTCAAACACTGTCCGACCAAAGGTCTTGCAATTGGCAGGGGTCAGATGCTGTGCTCCATACCTCCCAACATTTCTAATGGACAAAGAGTGACACGTTAATTTTAAGAGTGTGAGTGGGGAGAGGCCAGGGTCAGGTCTACTTTGACAAATTTTAGGTGACTTACTAAGAAAAATTCTATGCAAGAAAAATGAAATGTAGAACCAGAACAATGTATATTATAGAAATACTCATTTCGAAACAATTGTAATGTTGTTTAAAGACACATTGTTGTACATATTAATGCTGTAGAGCTCCGTTATACACTCAAGACACACCAACAATATGGAACATCTAGCTAATCGTAGAATTAGGAAAAGAAGGACAGAGGGATTTGGTGCCCCAAAAAGACACTGTCCCTCTTAAATAAAGGAAGTTGGGAGCAGGGCCGGTGCAAGGCAAGGCTATTTTGCACCCAAGGCAAGACCAGCTTCTTGTGCCTTTCCCCTCAAAAAACAATTGCCAGTTGTGTGTCTCTTTCTTCTCTTAGCCAATTTGTGTTGCTTTTTCTCCCCCAACTTCTTTGCGTCTTTTCCCCCTTCCTCAGCCCCTTTGTGTCTCTCTTTGCCCTCCCCCCAGCCCCTCTGTGTGTCTCTATATCCCCTTAGTGAACAGACAGTTTTTCAATTTTCTTACTGTTAAGGAACAGGGCTGTTTTAAAATTTCTGCAGTGTTTGTGTTCTTATGCTTTTTTTGCAAGTTATAGGGCTATAAGTACAAGTAGGACATTGCTTTTTCAAAATATAAAGTTGTAAAATGTATCAATAGTGACATTGTAACAACGTTATCTGTCATAAATCTCCGAATCACATTTCACATGTACATATTTTTTTCAAGTAGACAACCCAGGGTATTCAATATGGGGTATGTCCAATCTTTTTTAGGAGCCACTTAGTCACAATCACTGGCAACGTTAGCATTTATGTGTATGTTAAAAATGCAAAAAAACAATTATGAAGACTAACTTTGGCCAGTGTTTGTGACTAAGTAACTACTAAAAAAGACTGAACATACCCCATTTGCAATACTTTGGGTTGTCTTCTTTTGCCAGTGGAATGCCATCATGGGAGTAATTCTCATTTCTGGGCTACCACACGCTCTTAAATGCAACATAACCAATCTGGCAAATTTCAATGTGAAAATCAAGCGTTATATTTGACCCTGTAACTTTCAAAAACACTATAAAACCTGTACATGGGGGGTACTGTTCTAATCTGGAGACTTCGCTGAACACAAATATTAGTGTTTCAAAACAGTAAAAAACGTATTACAACAATGATATCAAGAGTGAAACTAGCATTTGTGTGTGAAAAATTAAAACTTTTACTGACAATATCATCGCTGTGATATGTTCTACTGTTTTGAAACCCTAATATTTGTGTTTAGTGAAATCTCCCAAATAAAACAGTACCCCCCATGTACAGGTTTTAGGATGTCTTGGAAAGTTGCCAGGTCAAATATAGTGTTGCATTAATTAAGCAGTAATCTGCCGGATGTATGTCAACTAAATAGCGACATAATGTGTATTTATGTTTTTATTACTGTTTGTTATGAATTGACTATTATAGCTTGCTTTTAATTGCTACTTGTGGCAATATTGTAATAAATTTTCATCCAGCCAATTTTTTATCCAGCTGATTCAATCCAGTATTTGTAGAATTTAGCAATACCTACTTAGTAATCCATACAGATCTGTTCTATGATCTTTTTTATATATTTTTTTCCTTACATGCCGAGCTTGAATTGGGACACTAATCAACAAGCAATATAAGTATATAATTTTTATCTCAATGCTCTTTTAGCTTGACTGCATGTGGGAAAGGGGGTTTTCTCTAGTTCTGATATTGCTCCACTTCTTAACACTGTAACTTCTAAATTTACTATTTTTACAATTATATATAAAACACACACACACACACACTAAAATGAAAATGAACAATGGATCTCAATGCTGTTCTCTCGCACATGCACGAAAGTAAAGCAGAGACGTCATCTCCTGGAAGCTGAAACACCAGTAGCTGTAGAGAACTAGCTGGAAGAGAATAGCCATCACGGGTCTTTGCAAATTATCCAGATGGTGAAAGATCCACTTTAAAGCTTTCTAACATGTCACCAGGAGTTTGAGAGAAATTCTTCTTCCACCTCCATTTACTCATTTCTATTTTTTTTATTTGAACTATAAATTTAAATGAATGTATAAAATGGATCTCTAAAAAAAAAAAAAAAAGAAGAAAGTAAAGAAAAGGAAAAAAAAAAAAAAAATCAGCCTAGAAATGACAAAGTCTTAAATCAGGTCAAGGAAAAAAAAAATAAGATTTTATTGAACAGAGAAAACCTGTATAGATTTTTTTTCCTTTTTTTTTTTTTACAAACAGTAAATATTTTGAACAACTCCTCACCACATTTCAATAGCACATACCTAACGTAGCCAACAAAGTTTTGATTAGGCAGGTTGCGCACAATGGTACTTGTACAATAAACAGACTACCAAGTACAAATCTAAGGCAGTGATGGACTTTCAGATAGTCCCTTCGATGCAATTCCATTGATACGAGTAGACTATCAAAGTCTGTTCTGCGATTTGGCTTCATTCCATTGGCCATGTGATACTTTGTAATCAATACGATCCCTCAACAGACACAACCTTTCCAATGTCAAAGAAAATTTTGATTTGGGCTGCTGAGTTTGTCCGAACATGGCCAGAACATGAGTTGACCAAGATTTTAACAACTCCATGCAGAGTTCAGCAACATTCCGATTATGATGGGATTTTACCCTGTATGAACTCCGCAGGGATTGATTTGTCAATACGAGTGAGTGCAGGAGAATACCCAAGAGTTTAAGTGTACTGGGATCTGTAAATACAACTTAGGGCTTTTCTATTTTTTATTTTGTGTTCGCTAAAATGATTAAAGAGTCTGATTGCTTCATTTTGGCTAATTTCACGGTTTACTAAGAATCTGTGAATAAGTGATTTAATTAAAACAAAAACCAAATTTCGCAAGATATAGGAAAGGATTGTTTGTTCGGCAAACAAAAAAGTTAAATAAAATAATTTTTATTGTTAGCATGCAAAAAAGTGGAATACGTGAACCTTCCACCATTTTTGAGATATTCTGTTTGGGTTTACATCTAACAGAAAAACAGGAAAAAAAAATAATCTGAGCATTTCTTATACTATTTGATTCTGGGATATCTTGGTACTTAGAAGAAGAAGAAAACGCAGAACATAAAATTGAGGTGTACAAAAAAAATATATATATATAAAAAAAAATAATATATTTATATATATCCATCTCAGTCTTTATAAGAACATGTTTTATTGCAGACTGGCTTAAACATTTCTAAACAAAGAAAAAAATAATTTTTTTTTCTTCCAGCTTCGGTTTGAAAGGTTCCTTCTGAGAGAGAACCTACTGCGCCAATGGCTTCCTTCGCAGTGTTTTGTGCACCGCTCCGGCATGCAAAAGGTTAATCACTAGCCTTTCAGCAAATTTCTATTTACGGAAAAAAACAAAAACATTTTCATAGAAACGAAAGCCTCTTAATTTAAACCTAGCAGGGCCAGAGTGATGGACAATACTACCCTGGCATTTAAAAAGCAGTATCTGTACTCAGTGCTGAAGCCTGCAAGTAGCAGAGTCCATAATAAATGGTAGCAGGCTTCATCCCTAAATAAGATTTTCCCGTATGCTCTGAATTCACTGAGCTGTTTCTAGTCTGTGAAAAGTTTGTAAGCTGGCAAAGGCAGTGAGCATACAAAAATCCAGCAGCGACAGAGTTAAAGCAGCATTTTTTTTTTTCACACTGGGAGGGGCAATTAAGTCTTCAAAAAACAAAGCTAAAACATAATTGTGGTCATCCGGTAACAGCCACGTGGCACAATGCCAACATGTAGGGCTGAGTTTGGCTTCTCTTGTAATTTTATACTTTACCAAGAAATAGATGCCACAAGACCCACCATAATCGCCACTCTTTCCAGTGAAGTCTTCAGGTCAATAGACTGCACTCCACGCACACACTCATCATATACACTCATGCACACACACTCTTCATGTAGGATGTTTTTATTCCAGGGAGGACGAATCATCTTCATCTTCCTCATCATCATCAAACGAGCACGGTGTCTCTCCTCGAGATTCTGTGTAGTGCGATGTTCCTGAACTGGAATGGTGACTGCCAGTAGTCAAAGAGATTTCGGAGTCAAAATACAATCCCGGGTTTTCACTGTGTGAATTAAAGTAAGATTGAGAGAGAAAAAGGAAAAAATACATTTAAAAAAAAGGACACATGAGGTGAGAAAACATGGACCAAAATTAATAAATAAACCTAAAATGTTAACTAGCAGATGTGTTAGATTTGTTTTATGCACAGCAAAAAGTATACATGAAGCATACAATGTGCTAAGCGAAATTTACATCACAAAATGTTTTAAAGAAACATTCCAAGCACCATAACCACTGAAAAAAATAAACTATTGTGCAAGGAGTCAAACCATTTCAAACCAGTTGACTTCTTATCTTATTCCCTCATCCAACTTCTCTTGTCAAAGGTCTAATCCAAGCTAAATAGGTCCAATAAAGGTTGCCGCTCTTTGACGAAGAGCAATCAGCTGATGCTCTCAGCCCATGAGATTGGCCCTACTTAGCTTAATTTGCATGCAGGAAAATCCAGACGCAGGGCTGCGGCTGCAAACATTCTGATGGGCAGGGTCCAATAGTTCTAATATGGGAGGATCCCAGGGAACACCTGGCACCGCAACTACTACAGAAGGCAGTAGGGTTGACGGTGCTCAGAGAGTTCCTTTAATTCAAAGCTTTTGTTACATCTCGCACAAACTACATACTGATTACAGAAGTCAGAGAACATAATGCACTAACCCTAGCAGCAAACATTGTTGATATAAAAATAAGTGTTGATATGTTTTATGTGTGATAATATACTGTACCTCTAGCTCTAGACTAGAGCATGAATTAAAATAGAAATTTCAACTTGTTCTCAGTGACATACATACTTTACAACTGTAAATCAAGTAAAAAGTACATGCCCTGAAGAGAGACCTATTCCAAATATGCAGTCATTTATGTTTACCAAAAAAAACAAAAAAAAAAAAAACACGTTTGGTTTCCGTAGGACATTGGAGTTTTGATATTTCATTTTTAGTAATTGTATGAATTTTTATCAGAATCCTCAGTTATGTCTCATTCCATTACTTACAATGTGTGTGTGTTTCAGTTTAGACCCTGGTTAAAGGGATACTCTAAGAATCATAACAACTAGATCTTATTTTAGTGACAAGGAACAACCAGTCCTTGAGTGACGTTCCAGTTTCTATGCATTAAGTCAGATTGTTTGAACCGTGTGACAAACTGGGGCCTTAATAGCACTCACTCAATCTAAACCCTCTGCTGCTACCAATATATTGTGAAAGATATCCTAACTTGGACACAAACTGCAGGCTATGAGTGTTGAGTCTCTCATTTCTGTCCAAGGTTCAGATAATCTGGACGTTACATTTAAACATTATCTAAGTGGCTGCTAAGAGTCTAGTTGGGCAAAAAAAAAAAAAAAAATATAGTGTAAAAAGAGCTCATGATATAATTTCTCAATGTAATCATTCCTAATTCCATGGTAACGGCTCCCTCTTGGTTCTGATCCACCTGATGACAAATGTGGTTGTACCTGGACTGAGTGTAAGTTGTAGTGGAGGCTGCATTCACGGCAGAGACCGTTTGGGATGTACTGAAATTAAGACCTTGATCTGTCCATGAAGACCCCGTTGCCATGTCTGATAGATAAAAAATAAAAATAAATGTATAAACATACACTTACAATAAAAATTAACACGAGATGCCTTAGACACTTAAAGGCTAGAAATGACCCCTACTTCTTAAACTATGGCGATAATGATAAAATCTAAAAATTAGACACTCACATGAATACTCACTGCTTGTTGCAAATACACGGTTTGGCTAGGTTTTTCCATTGTTTTCAATAAAAATGTTAGCTTTTATTTTTATTTTTTATCTCCGATAAACTACATATTTATTCCACATGAGATATGTAAATAGTCAGTCGGTTGTTTCATTTATTATTTTTTTTTTTCATGGCTGCTCTACAAGCTCTTTCAGAGAAAGTGTACAAGTTTTTCTTGTACTGCCCACTTCACACAAACTGTTTTATGGTACAGGAGACCTATTTTCCACCTTTGTTGTTACAGTGGGAGAGGGACAGTGCAGATGACTTTCCTGTGCCTGTCCCTTTAAAGTTATACACCATAAATTAGACAGGGCTTTTCCACTGCCTACTGCTTCTAAAACATTAGAATGTAATGCCTCTCCTAATTTGCCCCATCCTGCCCTTATGTAGCCTCTCTCTAATCCTGTACTTTGTCTGCCCACAGATTCTGAACATATTTCTTTAGATAGTCTTAAACAGCTTTCCCTTCAATTGATTTACCTTTTCCAGTAATAACCGAAGAGACTATTTTAAGGTGTTCTTAAATATTGTCATACATCATGTACAAAAGCTGAGTGTGACTTGAGTTAAAGTCCAACATCAACTTCAGAGCTGCTGTTGCCTGGGACTGCTTTACATAAATGCCCCCCAAATTCGAGACAACTATTACCCCTCGTATTTTATATATATAACGAAAGCAGGTGGCAAATTGTTCTTTGTGAGAATTTACTTTATTTGGTGGAGCCGATTATGGCAATGTTCAAGAGCTTAAACTTCAGCGGGTCTTTCCAGACCCACAATAGGAAATATTGTTAATCGGGTATACTCAAAAATCCTGTGAAATGATGGTGTGTGAGAACTGCTTTTATCTGTTACTTCGCAATCTCCCACCAAGTCCGGAGACTTGCCAAGTGTTTTTGAGATCCCAGTGCCGCTTGCTGTGAGAAGGTACTGGTGACCTTGAAGCCTCCCTATTTCTGCACACACAATCAACTCCCAGAGGCCACAACAAAGAATGGGGCAGCAACAAACAACCACACATTAAAAAAAAGAAAAAAGAAAAAAAAAAAACACCAGTTTTTATAAAGGAATATTAACTATCCACAAAAAAATTAAAGGGGCACTGTAAGCATATGCCCACTACAGCTCGCTCTTAAAACAACATAACCACTACAGCTACCGATAACCCCATTGAATAATAAACTTTATAGAATTGATTTGTCATAATATCAAGGAATGCCAGGTACAGTGGGACCACTCTCTATTACACTGATAATGCAGAATTCACACTAGCACATTATCAATGTCAAACAACCTGGATGACACCGATTGGCTGAGAACGGTGTAACCCCTCCCAGCACTCTCTGTGCATTCCAAGTTGGGCACAACTGATAGTTAGTGTTTATGTGTTATGTAAATGCAAAAACAGTGATCTGAACTACAAAGCAACCTGCATTAGCAGGAGAAAACATATAGTGGGATTTATAGTCAGGGTACCACCTGTTTGTAGGTTTTATGACTGTCTACAGCCAGGTTGTGAATTAAAAACAGCTCACTCGGTACGGTCAGTGGCTGAGAATGTGTGCATACATTTAATAAGGAAGTATTTTACTAATACGAGGGGGCGTGGCTAGGGAGGCAGGCTTATGGTGCAGCATTATGCAAAAACTATACAGATTGGAGCATGCAATAACAGTATAATATAGGAGACCAAAACCAAATCAAATACAATAAAGTTGTAATAGTGCCCAGAGGATTCTAGAAGGCATTTTGCTGCTCATAAAGTGGAACTGGTAGGTCATTTTACTTGTGGATGATGCTTTTTTTATGCCGTTATAATATTCCTCCTCTTCCAATTCTGCAACCTCAAACGACACTCATGACCTGGTTCTAGTTTTTTAAAAATGTAAGACCCTACCCCTATGTCTTAGTCCCTTTAAAGTTATACACCATAAATTAGACAGGGCTTTTCCACTGCCTACTGCTTCTAAAACATTAGAATGTAATGCCTCTCCTAATTTGCCCCATCCTGCCCTTATGTAGCCTCTCTCTAATCCTGTACTTTGTCTGCCCACAGATTCTGAACATATTTCTTTAGATAGTCTTAAACAGCTTTCCCTTCAATTGATTTACCTTTTCCAGTAATAACCGAAGAGACTATTTTAAGGTGTTCTTAAATATTGTCATACATCATGTACAAAAGCTGAGTGTGACTTGAGTTAAAGTCCAACATCAACTTCAGAGCTGCTGTTGCCTGGGACTGCTTTACATAAATGCCCCCCAAATTCGAGACAACTATTACCCCTCGTATTTTATATATATAACGAAAGCAGGTGGCAAATTGTTCTTTGTGAGAATTTACTTTATTTGGTGGAGCCGATTATGGCAATGTTCAAGAGCTTAAACTTCAGCGGGTCTTTCCAGACCCACAATAGGAAATATTGTTAATCGGGTATACTCAAAAATCCTGTGAAATGATGGTGTGTGAGAACTGCTTTTATCTGTTACTTCGCAATCTCCCACCAAGTCCGGAGACTTGCCAAGTGTTTTTGAGATCCCAGTGCCGCTTGCTGTGAGAAGGTACTGGTGACCTTGAAGCCTCCCTATTTCTGCACACACAATCAACTCCCAGAGGCCACAACAAAGAATGGGGCAGCAACAAACAACCACACATTAAAAAAAAGAAAAAAGAAAAAAAAAAAACACCAGTTTTTATAAAGGAATATTAACTATCCACAAAAAAATTAAAGGGGCACTGTAAGCATATGCCCACTACAGCTCGCTCTTAAAACAACATAACCACTACAGCTACCGATAACCCCATTGAATAATAAACTTTATAGAATTGATTTGTCATAATATCAAGGAATGCCAGGTACAGTGGGACCACTCTCTATTACACTGATAATGCAGAATTCACACTAGCACATTATCAATGTCAAACAACCTGGATGACACCGATTGGCTGAGAACGGTGTAACCCCTCCCAGCACTCTCTGTGCATTCCAAGTTGGGCACAACTGATAGTTAGTGTTTATGTGTTATGTAAATGCAAAAACAGTGATCTGAACTACAAAGCAACCTGCATTAGCAGGAGAAAACATATAGTGGGATTTATAGTCAGGGTACCACCTGTTTGTAGGTTTTATGACTGTCTACAGCCAGGTTGTGAATTAAAAACAGCTCACTCGGTACGGTCAGTGGCTGAGAATGTGTGCATACATTTAATAAGGAAGTATTTTACTAATACGAGGGGGCGTGGCTAGGGAGGCAGGCTTATGGTGCAGCATTATGCAAAAACTATACAGATTGGAGCATGCAATAACAGTATAATATAGGAGACCAAAACCAAATCAAATACAATAAAGTTGTAATAGTGCCCAGAGGATTCTAGAAGGCATTTTGCTGCTCATAAAGTGGAACTGGTAGGTCATTTTACTTGTGGATGATGCTTTTTTTATGCCGTTATAATATTCCTCCTCTTCCAATTCTGCAACCTCAAACGACACTCATGACCTGGTTCTAGTTTTTTAAAAATGTAAGACCCTACCCCTATGTCTTAGTTCATAAAAAGGAGATTAGAGTGGGGAAACAACCCATGCAGTAACATGTGATGGTATTGTAAATTCATGGAGTGTATCTCTGTTTTTATCAGGAAAGATAAAAAAAATAAAATATATATATATATTGCTGGGACTCTGCTATTTACCTCATTCCACATGCAATTAAAAATACAATCTGTTTTTTTTTTTTTAAATAAATATTACTATTTTACAGGGGTCGTCCGCACATAAATTTTAGTTAGAGTTTTTTACTGCAATGCTAAACAATTTAACCCTTTGACAAAGACTGAGGTTAATGAGTAATCAAGCTAAAAGAACACTGTGCTGAATGGGATTTCCCTCCTGTGCACTTTATAAGCAACAGGAAATCCCTTCCAGGAATCAGAGATGTCGCCAAGGCGGCAATGAATGGCCGGTTCTGTGCTTAATATGCACAGCAAGTTTACAGCCAGCTCAGTTCTCCTGCATAGACAATGTCCTAAACTGCAGCATTCTCCCCCACCTCCCAGGGATTTTATATTCACAATTCCCAAACTCTGCCCCATTCAATGCCAGACATTTCAACTTCAGATGTCTACAGGATAGGGACATTTTTACAATCGTGAATATACACAGCCCCCCCAAAAAAGCCATAAAATGATAATGTTACATAATGAATCAAATTGTAATGAATTGATGAATGATCAGTTTGGTGAATGACTGGAACTTTAGACATGATGTATACAGTGTAACAATGCGTGTGTTTCGGGGATCTGAGTTCTGAAAGGTTTACAGCTCTATCATTCGAAATGACCCATGGGACGTCTATTCATCAACCCCATCCCCCATAACAGAGCTTGCAAGTCCTTCAGGCTAGCTTCAATTTTTGGCACAATAGCCTGCATGTGTAGGCTATTCGAAAAAAATCTACTGAAATTTGCCCCTAGTTTCTTCCTGAGCTTTGGAACATCAGAAAGCAGAGAACAGTTCTGAAAAGATGAATAGATTTCTTGATAAAAAAACGAGTACAGTATGTAATAAAGACAGGATGTTTTATAAAGTTGCAGTAAAGTTATGAGTATTTGTGTGTGAACTTATTTTGATGTGATAAACGGGGACATTACATCCAGATTGCTAACTGTCTACAGGTTATTATACGTCTGCTTCTTTCTCACCAGCAACAAACTTTGTGGTCTATCAATGATTTATACGTGAATTCTGAATTAATTTATATCATCGTGCTCTGCGATTACAGTACAACCTGAACACTGAACCTGCTGGCACGCACGGAGGGACCTGACTGGCTAATGTTCCACACTGACATTACATCATATTCCATGCCTGCTATGCAGAATAGGTGAATTGTCACTTACCTGTCACATATCCTTCCAAAGCTCTGGGTACATAGGACTTGGCAAGTTTCAGGTTCTCTGATGAGCATACACCAGACTCCAGTCCAAATGACATGCCCATTCTTTTCAGGACCTCAATGTCATCATGGATTTCAAAAGTATTATCAAAATTAAATAAGTATTCGAACCTGGAAACAATAGAGACAGTCTCAGATGGCACAAAGTAGGTTCGTGATAATAAAATATACACCTGTATCCATTAAAATCAGCCTTGATATTAGGACCATTTAAAGTAACTGAAACATCAACAGCACTATCTGCACTCTTTCAGTTAACCTGTTTAGATCACAGCTAGTAAAAATGCTCTTCAACATGCATGGCGTATGGTTACTGTAGGGACGTCACAGAGTGCGACCGAGAGATATGGAATCTTTATATTGATTTAGTGTATGCAGTCATTGGGAGACCCGCTTAATTCCCATAGAATCTGCTGTATTTTTAATCAGCACAAACCAGACTGGTTATAGATCTATTCGCAAAGACAGCTATAAACAAATGTATAACTCTGCACACGGTGTGTCTGATCTACTCACTTGTCACTGGATATACTGCAGTCTATAACAGTTCTCTTGCTAGTGTTAACAATAATAAACGGAAGTTTGATAGTAGAGTTTGCCGCAGGTGGACTGTGACTCTGCTGCTCCAGCTGTCTGTTCCTCTGAACAAGGTGTTTGAAGGCAATTTGCTAGTAAGAAAAGAAAAAAAATAGAATGTTACAGCCACCTACAAGTGTATGGTGCATTGCAACCTGTGTGTGTGTATATATCTATCTCTCTCTCTCTCTCACTTTGTCCTGAGGAAGGTCCCTGTGTGGACCAAAACGTTGATTTTTGTTATTAGATTAAATAAAAGAATTTTTGCATGAGAAGACCGTGAGTGCAGCCCATGCTTCTCCTATTTAGGTGAATATCAACATCCCCATTGGACTGGCACCCGGCAAGTAAATTTAACATTTTACTATGAACATTCAGCGTGAGTGCAAGGAATCTAATTATTTTTGTGTGTGTGTACACACAGATTGGTACAAAATATCAGGAAAATTACTTTTTAGGATAAAGACTCAAAGACATTAAAATCTGGGAATTTTCTGCAAACTTATTTTTTAAAAACAAATTTTAATGGCAATTAGCAACTACAGAAAATCTACTACAGTTGGAACGACGTAGATGATATACAGGTTGGGGATTGCGGTTTATAGTCCATTTAACCCTGACCCACAGGGATCTGCTGATCTAAAAGGAATAGTTAATCAAGGAATGGGCCATGTGAGCCTGTGCGATATATTTTTTTCTGTCATATCTGATGGGAAATAACAAAGCCCTTCATTGTCCTGTGTCTTGCTCCCGTTAAAACTCTAGGAGTTATTGTTTAGAGCCCTGACCCTCTGTGACTGCTTGCTCACATAATCTACAATTGTACTATAAGGGGGGCAGGCCACTGACACTGGAGACGCAGTGCTAAAATATGTAATTTAGTGATAATATCTACTTTTCATTAAAAAAAAAAAAAAGCAACAAACTGTAAAGATAAAAATACATTAGAAAAAGATCTTCACTGCATGTTCAAACCGAAAGGAAAAACCTCAGAACATTGTGAAAAAGCAAAATGAAAAAAAATAAAATAAAAATATGGCAGCCCCTTCTCCAAAGCATGTGATTGTTCATGTATGCTTGTTGTATGCTCGTGTAAGTAGGCACTAGAGTCTCACTAATCAGACCCTCAAAGAGCAGAAATACTTCACAAACTAATCCCATAGGATGCAAATTCAGGTGACTATTAGTGCAAGGCATGTATAATATTTTTAAAAATAAATAAATAAATAAAAAGCTTCCTTTTTTAGATGGTAACCTGTACACTTGTAGGTTTTGGGTCTCTCTAGTGAAGAATTAAAGCATCTGCCACAATCACAGATGTAATGACTTTATAAATGTTTTAGGTGATCTAAGTATTTGTAGCAGAATATGAAACCTAATGCATCATACATTTAAGACGTCATTGGGAGAAGTTGGATAATGCTCCTTAGTGTATTTGATGTACATTTCACGTTTTTTAGGATATGGTTTCAGCACAGTTAAAATATATTTGTCAAATACAAGACATTTGTTAAAAAATAGAGAACATACAAATCCAAATAATTTTAATAAAGGACTTAAAAGGGAAGATGGAGCTTAACAAAAAACAGTGCATTCATGTGATGAGAACAAATAGAAGAAACTGATCACAGGGGAGATTAAATCACACCGTATATACCAATGGCCAGACTAGGAGAATTGTTTCATTTCAGGTGTATTGCCTTAAAGACTTATCTGGCCCCACATAGCCATAATGCTTTGGGGTAGTTGTAGATATCCACAACTCCAATGCCAACTTTGTACATGAGCCAGCACCCGAAATCCACTGATCCAGCTACTCTTGGAGCCCAAAACGAATTCCGGGGGAAAATTCCACAAAGTTCCTAATCACTGAGCATCAACATCATCCAGGAACGTCCGTGTGTGGACTATGCACAGAGGGAATCTATCAACTTATGGATCTTGGGCCTGGGTAAGCGGTGAGGGGAGACTTCGCAACGATCATAATATTTTACTGCAACATCAGTATCTAACTAACTAGATTCAGCACCCAGAGTCCCAGAAAAGAAGAAGTATCTGCAAGGGGACCAGAATAACCTGGACCAGTGGTCCAAAAAGCAGGGGAAAATGGGATCTTCAGAAATACGATCAGTGACAGTAAATATAATTACGTCCCTGTGTGGTGGATGAAATGTCAGGTATGGCAGATTTTTTTATTCTGACTAACTTTTGAATAAAGGGGCACGTGGAAACCTGACATCTGTGTAGTTTCCCCAATTCAAACAAGCTGATTATATGCCCCAGTTTATCTTCAAGTTGTTGACCCCAGCCAGGGATCAAATAATTTAAATTGAAAATGTGCCAAAAATTTGCTCGGCATGGTAGCCAGGACCAGGCTAGCCCCCATACCAATATTGTTGATTCAAAGAGTAGAACAAGAATACGGTCTTTAGTGGTTTGGCACTGACATTATGTATATGTCACAATCAGACTTCCTTCTTGATGCAATGATTTTATGACCAGGAGTTACATTATAGAACATTGAAAAAGTATACTCTAACTATATAATGTAGCAAGGTGGTGTATGCTTTTATCTGACAGACTTATAGACTACAATTTTATTTCACGCAACCACTTTTTGTTATGTACCCCAATGTTACATTTTCACCTTCCCCCATAAACAACCCTAAAAAGCAAAACAGAGGGATTTTACCTGCAGGAGAAGCTCCTGTAACTGAGCACTCTTTTGTTTAATGCGTTCTATTCTCTTCTGTTTCTCCTTCTGTAGCAAAACAAACCACATTTTCATCATCAAACAATTACACACACATATATATATATATCAGCACTCCCGGGTAACTTTCTTAGGAACTTCTTTTACTAAAAAGTGTAAAATTTAACGTTTCAGTTCCATTCAGGAACTTTCATCAGGACAACCATCAGGCTTAGTAAAAAGTTCCTAAGAAAGTTTCCTGGGAGTGCTGATTTTTTTTTTATTTCATACATTTAGTGCAATCAAGCACCGGGTCAAATAAAGTACGAGTGCAAGGCTTTTTTTCATTATTTATTTATATATTATTTATTTTCATTCGAGAGGCTATACTGGGAGGAATACAAAATATATCAAGAACCTTTTCTGTAGAAATGAATAGCTTAATATAACTGCTAGAGTGGTCTGCTCACTGCTACACTTTGCACCCAATGGCTCTTAAAACTCTAAAAGAAAAAGCTAAAGGATAGGTTTCTACAAGCTTCCTGATATATGGGGAACAAACTTCTACAGTGGAAGGAAGTATTTCCATTAAAAGGACCACTCTAGGCACCCAGACCACTTCAGCTTAATGAAGTGGTCTGGGTGCCAGGTCCAGCTAGGGTTAACCCATTGTTTTATAAACATAGCAGTTTCAGAGAAACTGCTATGTTTATGAATGGGTTAAGCCTTCCCCCTAATCCTCTAGTGGCTGTCTCAATGACAGCCGCTAGAGGCGCTTGCGTGCTTCTCACTGTGATTTTCACAGTGAGAGCACGCCAGCGTCCATAGGAATGCATTGATAATGCAGGTACTCCAAAGCAAGATATATATTTATCACAGATCGCTCTTTTAAAAAGATCATTTTTGCTACCTATACATATTCAACAGACAAAGCTAAAGAATTTTTTTTAAAAAGTAATATTTATTTTAAGGATTAAAAATGTCCTGTACTTTGATATGATTGCCATTTTATCATAATCAGGGAACCTTTATCGTTCCGCTATAACGAGTAAATCCTTAAATATAGAATCTGAAGAGAGGGCCCTTAACATGGTTCCCTGTACTTATCTCGTAACATAAAATTAATGATACTCCCTGCTGTAACAGTAAGATAGCTTCTCTACAGGACCGTCCACTTTGACAGAGAGCTGCTGCTGATTGTATGAAGAGCATAAAGATGCAGTCAGTGACATCTGAAGCCTTATCCGTCAGCCAGCATAAAAGGATCGCTCTAAGTACCATAATGTTTCATCATTGTGACGGTTAAAGTGCAGAGAGTTCTAGGCTACCGTTTCCCCTATGCAGACTGACTTAGACCTGCTGCATTTTGCAAGACACCAAAAACAAAATACATTTTGCTCTTAGGGTCTCAACGTACCTTTCACCACAGCAGCCTAAACAAGAACAATAATTCCTCACAAGTGGATACAAAACACCAACAATTCACTCTACTGATATTGTGAATGAAAGCAAGCATTCTGAAATGTGTTCTCACCAAAATCGAGCCGTGTCAAACTAATAAAATATACAAATTGTCATTTTAAAAACCAAAATATTAACTTACTTCTAAGTTCTCACATTCCTGGACAGAGTTGGAGGGTAAACCGATCCACTTAATTTCTTTCTTCTCTTTAGAGATAATATTCATAGCCATAAGTACATTCAAAGCATCATAAACTCTTCGTCTAATATTTTTCTGATCATATGCCTGAAAAACCGAGATAAACCAAATTAGTATAAATTCAAGCAAAATAAATGTATGGCAATACAGACAAGAACAAATGTAAACAACGAAGATTGCACCTTCACGAAGAATCTCATTGGCTGTCTGGCACCAGTTTTACACAGGTTTGATAATAGCTAGCCCTGTACGCAAGTTCCAGGCTGGCTAATGATGCTACCAGAGGTGAAGTTACACCGGCAGCTGAGGTGTTAATCTCTGTATGTGCAGCATTCCATAGCGAAATGCTGCACATACAGACTCCAGGCACCATGACCACTTCAAATCACTGACGTGGACATAGTGCTTGATGTAACCCGTTAACAATTCTTTAAAAAAAAAAAAAAAAAGTAAATATACAGATAAATAAATCCTCTAGTAGGCCATTTAAGAGAGGCAGGGAGGTGATGGGATCTTTGCTGCTGTGGACTTGACGAAAACAACAAGAAGGTTTCTTCTTAATTTAACATTTTTAATCTATTTTCTATGTAATCTATAGAAAAATTACAGTCCTTTTAAATGTTAGAGTTGCAACTGTAATTAAAGAATCACTTGGATTTAGCAGCATAATCTCTCTGGCTCTCCAGGTCGTATATCGGAATAGAGCATATACATTATACACAAGGAATACAATGGGATTTTCACTCACAGAGTCGGTAGCCAGGTGACCCGCAGAACCGGTGAACTCGGCCACCAGTTCATCAGCCACCTCGTTATAGGATGTGGTTCCTTTATTCTGAACTTTCTCACAGACCTTCATGGAGAAATGCCGCAAACCCTTTCCACTCTTTTCCCCTCGTTTGCTTCTTTTGCTGTGAAATAAAAATACAAACATTAGTAATTAAAGTGTATGTTCAGGAAGTGTAAAGGATGAACTTGTGTAGAGCCTTACATTGAACAATGTAAATTAATTTATCCAATTCAGCCAATGCTAGTTTCAGAGCATAAAAATCGTTATATGCCACTGGCTGTATAATGTTTAAATTATCATCATTAGCGTTTATATGACACCAACATACACCGCAGCGCATTACAATTGGAAAATGGGGAGATTTGACAAGAAGTAATTTACATATGGAATATAACAGACAAGTGGCGAAGAAGGCCCTGCTCAAAAGAGCTTACAATCTATGAAATAATTTTATCAGCAGTCATGCACAGTCTTATGAAGCATAATATATTCATGCTCGCTGGATAGATTTGCATCTTACACACCATGTTCAACTTCCTGCTCGTTAAAAACAGTCACCTAAAATTGGTCCAGGCATTCAGCGTTCATTGTTTTGGAATGAGAGAAACATTATGTAGCCAACAGGAATAGATAAAGATGTAGGATATGGAGAGAGAGAGGGGAAGTACAAGACACAGAGAGGAAGGTGCATGATATTGAAAGAGAGGAAGATGCGTTAAATGGGGAAGAGAGAGGGAAGTGAGATGCGGGAGTCTGGGAAAGGAGGATGCAAGAAATCAGGGGAAAAAGCAATGGGAAGAGAAATATAGGAGAGACGAAAGGCCAAAATTCAGAGTTGGATTTAACAGGTAAATAGCTTATTTTTTTATTGGTTACTTTTTTTGTGTCAGGTACATATTATAACAGAGTCTTGGAAGAGTCATCATGAGGAACAACGAGTACAAATAGTGGAATTTTATTTTCAAAATAACAGCTGTTCGGCGAGCGGATAATTTAAAGAAAATTCCAGATTAATTGTCCGCCACGTTCTCCTGGCCTTTCAACTCCCAATAACTTTCTGTGGAGATATCTGAAGGAGCGAGTGTACATGAACAAACCGCGTACACTCCAGGGGGATATCTGTGCAGAAACTACAGTACTAGAGCCTCAAACATTAACGAATGTTATGAACAATGCAATCACAAGAACCTAACTTTGCAAGGTAGCAAATGGAGCTCATTTAAAAGATGGTTCGTACCTGGTCAAACATTACAGTAAGCATTCGTTAGAAAAAGGAGAGCAAAATGGTCCTTGCTAGAGGGTAAAAGGTAATATTAAAACATAACTTTTATTAAATACAAAGGCTGAAAGAAGACTAAACTAAATAAACCAAAATGAGAAAAAAGGGAGAAAAAAGGGATAAAAAAGGTAGTGATAAGTCACTCAGTAAATACGATTTATATGCCGCACTGCAGGACACACCCCCTAAAAGAACCACAAGACTAACGCCAAACTCACCTGCCCACACCAGCTAGAGGTAGACCGACCTCAGACGCAATCACCACCGACCAAGTGACAACTAGAATAGCACAGGCCCCACCAAGGGAAACACAAAGCTAGTGTGGCACAATACGAGGCGGGGACCTGACTCCCACAAACAACCCTATACCTACTCCCAAGGACCCAACGACACACAGACCTCACCGCTACAACAACAATCCAACCCAATGTTGACGCTGTAATTATAATTGTATTTGATTCGCCTTTGTAAACCACTGCACTGAATGGACCCCCTGATCCCCCCATTTTTTCCTTCTGTACCCCCTCCTTGATTGCATAAAGCGAAAATACTACAAATAAAGATTTTTTTTTAATTTTTTTTTTTTTAAATACGATTTATATGTACTGGTGTTAGATATACAAGTAGTGGTAAGGATAATGTAGTAATATAGAGAAGAAAATAATAAGTACAGTAATCAATAGATACTATTTGTAACAATGAACGTTCTGCGAAGTTGCAAATGTGTACCAAAGTGTCAGCACAAGCCCTAAAGGAGAGCATGTAATGAGTAAACCAGTGAAAGAAACACGATTGCAACAATCACTGAACTGAAAATAGGCATATAAAGGGAGAAAGACGGATACTGCCTAAATGGTCATTCACAGAGTTTGCTGGGAAACTCGTGTAAAAAGTGTGCAGATGGCAATCCCCAATTGACTATACTGGAAAACAGTCTAATGCCTGAAAAATCATCTAGACACCATGAAACAAAGTAATACTGAGCCGACAATAGTAAAATAATAAAGGCTGGCTAGAAATACGTTGTAGAGGTGAGGAGTAAATCTGTGCTTTCAAGATAGTTTAAAATCACGTCTAGACTAGCTGCCTATCTAATCAGAATATGGTCTAGGCTGCAAATTCAGCGATAGGTATCAACAATACATCTGGGTCAGACCGGGCACCAATGCATCCGATTGTGGTAATTAGCCAGCATCCAGAACGAATATTAGGACAGGATACCTGAACCTACTGAATTTAAAAATACTTAATGGATCATAAAATCAATATATATAAATCTCGGAAGTATATGTGGGAAAATGGTCCAAATAAAAAGTGGATTTGAGCAGGGTAAGGTATCGGAGTGAGCCCCAATGTGAGTTTCGCTATTAAGAGGCTCTTCAAAGTTGTATGTAATATTAATAAAATACATTTTAAAAAGTTAGACTCCTCAAATCCTACTCAGACTTTTGGCCCATCCTGTAGATCAATGTTCCCCAACCCAGTCATCAGGGGCCACCAACAGTTCAGGTTTTGTAAATATCTCCATTGGAGTAAAACAGGGAAATACATAAATCATGGACTGTTGGTGGTCCTTGAGGACTGGGTTGGGTGAGCACTGCTGTAGATGATAAGGATACATCATGCAGGAGAGGACCATGAAGGTGATGGGGAAAAAGTAACAAAGTAGTATATAACGAAATGTAGAGAAAATGACAGGATGATGAAGACAAAAAAAAAAGAAGAATTAAGGTGTAGTCTGAAAACTAACCAAATTGCCTTAAACATACATGAATTTCCAGTGCTGTAGCCATTTGTGCTCAGACAAGCAGCAAGAGTTAAAAAAATAAAATAAAAAAAAAAAGAATCCCGATTTAAAATAATGGCACGTATAGAAACTGGCTGCAGCTGTGGGGTAGGATGAACATCCCAGATATTCAGCCTCACTATACATTGTAGCAACATCAGTGTCTAAAGGCCAAAGATGTGTCCCAGATGATATAAACGCTCTTTCACAAGTGGTTGCCACAGTGGCCAGCCAGTTACAGAAAGCATCCAGGGGAATTAGTTCCAGATTCCTAGTTAGGAATAGCAGGAGGAAGTGAATAGAAACGGTAGGGATACTGCCAGGAGAACGTTACAGATCCAAACTGCCCCAAATTCGCTGCTTTAAGTAGGGATTCAAATTACACAGTGAGTAGAAAAGGCACTGAGAAACAGGAAGTTGATAAATTGTAATGAAACAAACCATTTTCAGCACATGGACCAACTTGAAAAATATCTGAATATTCAGTGATATCTTAATGAAGAGATAAAAACATTACTTTATCTGCACATTTCTCAATATTTGGATTATCTTTCTGTCCATATGCATCATACTCCTTATCACATGTTTTTTGTCTTCCTGTCCAGCACCAGCTACACAAATTTTCTTAAAAGTAGACTGGCGTGTGTGGTGAAGATTATATGGCATTATTTTACGGGTAACATTTTCTCTGGTTATGTTATTGGCACATTAATCAGCTTCTGCTGTTATATAACTTGACTTTTGATGATCGCTGACTGTCAAGTTATACATTACTATTATTATATTTATATAGCGCCAGCAAATTCCGTAGCGCTGTACAATGGGTGGACTAACAGACACGTTATTGTAACCAGACAAATGGACGCACAGGAACAGAGGGATTGAGGGCCTTGCTCAATGAGCTTACATGCTAGAGGGAGTGGGGTAAAGTGACACAAAGGGTAAAAGTAGGGGTAATGAAGTAGGTTGACCAATGAAAAACCGTGCTGATTACAGGGATCCAAAATGCACAGAATAGACATTACAATAGTCAGCAAAGGGCTAAATCGATGTATGAGCAGCGTTTCAAACTAAACTAACTAAAGTGTTCGTGGTCCTTGGAGTTACCATTCAGGCAAAATATATTTATTTATCCAACTAAAGTAAACTATAACCTAACTTTCAAAATGTCCCTTTTATGTGGGTGCCGGACATGTCATTTGAAGTCAGCCAATAACATTTCTGGTCAATTCTCATGATCTCAGCCAAGGAGGCGGGCCGGGAGCCGGAACCAAACACCAATCCTCGCCAATCATCCTCTTAAATGGATATATACAACAAGCTGTAGTTGTTCTGGTAAGTATATTGTCCCTTTAAGCCTTTAATACGCTGCATTAAAACCCTGTCCCCCACAGCAATATCCCAACAATGTGCTGTACAACCAACTCCAAATATGGTACATTAAAGTGGCACTTTCACAAATGATGTAGTTGGATGTGTTATTTTTCCCTTTGCATTAAAGGGGATTCTGGGCTAACAATGACCCGGGGTTTTCAAGACCCCACTCAAGGCTCCATCTCCTCTGAGCCCATCCCCTAGCAGTGTCTTCTGTAAGAAGGGTCAGAAGATAAAGTTGCCCCTTTCTTACATTTGCAAAAACTGTAAAAGAGGTCATATTTGGGAGATACAAAAAAAAAAAGAGGGTCCCTTCTTTTAAACACTAATTTTCCATCGTTCTCTGTCCATCCTCCTTGCTTGCACTACCCAGACTTCTCCCTGATCCTCACTGTTTCCAGTATCTCCGGTTTATTCATTTTCTCTTTCTTCAGACTTACGTCTTTTTACATTAATGTTCTATTCACTCAAGTTTCCATGGTATCTCTCCACCTCACAAGTCCCCCTGTCTATTCATCATTGTCTCCATTCTGTAGGCATTGCAATGAAAGGTGGCCAAAAGGCCTGCAATACTGAAGTATATCAGAATGAAGTTTAATGACAAAGAAGAGAATTACAAAAGCAAATGTTGCTCTGAACCCACGCAAGAAGAACCAAAAGCAGTCCACAATCTGTTTCAATGTCGATGGGAAGAGTAAATTAGGTGGCTTTCATAGTGTTAGACATTGGTGTATTTTTCACCTAAAGAGCAAGATCATTGACCTTCAAAGAGAATACATGATGACAAGTATCTTATAACCCCAAAAAAAAAAAATATATAGTTTGGAAGGATTAGTGAGAGACTAGGAGCATAAATCGAAAATAATTCAATGGCTTGCTACAAATGATATTTGTAAATAGTACCAGTCTATGTATGTTTGTGCCTTTCTGGGTCTGTGTGTACCCATCTGTGCAAGTCGGTGTGTGTGCGCACGTGTATCTGTAAGTAACTATAAGTGTTTAAAGAGGCATACTAAAGAGTTGGAGAAGGGCAAAGGGTGGAGCTTTAGGAAGTGGTCATCAAAATTATTTTTGGCTAAAGCCTAGTAATGCCCCTACTCAACACACTGCAAAGCGATCAGCAGTGGCGTTTATGTTTCTGCAAGCAAGACATCTACTTACCTCTCTGAAAAGTCAGACTCTATGAAGTCCCGGGTACGCTTCCGGTCCCTGTATAGATAAAAATACAGATGCATTAATAATGTTGTTGGAACGGCAACGTATGTACTAACAAGGCTTATAATTTGTAGTCCTATACTACTAGCCAGGTCTTAAAAGTTACTCACCACTTCAAGCCATAGCATACCCTCAATTTCTACTCAAAAGGTCTTAACTGTCACTCACTCACCTACGGTTGTGGTTAGTGTAAATGTTGTGCCCTGCATACTACCATGCTAAACAAAAAAGTAAATGAAGAAAACAGAAAGACTTTATAGATGAGAGTTGAAGCGCTGGAAGAAGTGAGGAGTAGAAGATCACACAGAAATGTTTAAAAAAAAGAGACAGAAAAACAAGAATATATATAGGCAACCAACAGAGTATCAGAGTACTTACCCTGGGATCCAGCTGGTAGCTTCTGTGATGTGGCTCTGAGTAACCATAGTTGTGGTGGCTGCGGCAAATGGGTTTCCAATCAGAAGATCTCCTCCCGCGCTCAACCTCTGAGGAGTGCTTATAATCTGAAACCAACAAGACTATAGTCAATAACTGACACCATGGGGGCTGGTGCAGGAGATAAAATAACTTCATCTAAAACATCTTAACAGGATATCGTGGACCAACATTCCCCACCCTTCACTAACTCGCGGTACGGAAAACAAGATTGCTTGGGGAGGTGCACGGAAAACCTGTATCCCAGACCACTTTTTAGATAAAGTATTAACGAATTAATTTTTTTTTTTTTTTAATCCAGGTTTGTGATTGAAGTATCATTGTATCTTTTATATGTTCTCATTAACATATTTTTAAAAATGTTTTATGTAGAGGTCACTACAGATGGAGACTGTGCAACAGCTTATGTTCCTTTACTAGTGTTCACGGAGATCCCGTGCCCCCTGAGCTAATTATCCTATATTTATTTACAGTGACTCCCAAAACAAATATTGGGGCAGTATATGCATGTTCTCGAATCCATACCTTTTAAGACAGGCTCCTATATGGCTTACTGTACAATACTATGAATGCAGCTTCCTTTAGCTATGGCAAGAGTTCCATTTATCTAATCCAAGTATGATAGAGCTGCCAGGTGCTAAACTAAGAATCCTATAAACTTCTGCTGGACAGGCGTGCATGAGATATGCCCGCCTATATTGAAAATAATAGGAGCATGCCGATTGGCTGAGCAGTTTCCTGGTCTGAGCTCACTGTATATGCTGTAAAGTTTGTGGGAATAAAATGGAGGAATTATAGTAGGCTTTTTTTTATTTTGACTATAATGTAGGTTTCCCTCCTTTCTGCTTTCAACCCGAAATTTCAAAAACACAAAATCTATTTTGTGCTTCTCCCTAGCTAGCTGTGACGTCCACGGTTATTGCACCTAGATTATATGCTGTATGGTAGGATAGGGCACTGTCACAGATGTGATTTGATGCCACACTCCTCAAGTTCTGTATACCTGCATACAGATAGGATTTATAAAAACATTATCAGGAAAACATAACATATTGTTCCCAACAACGTTGAATCTTTGCAGACTCATGTTTAGTGTTTGAATAAGCTGTTTGACATACAACAGAGTTTTGGGAAATTAATTTTGCTTTACCGATACCAGGGGCACGATGGGCCGTTAAAATAAACAGTAAGTAAAAGGCCTTCATCTGTAGAGTGACATAGGGACCAGCACTGCATTAGTTACAATTTCAAACAGTATAATTTTATACGGTATATCCATTCTTGACACACACACAAAAAAAGTCTTTAGAATTCCATGAACATAGTTTCTATTAAGCAAAATACATATAAGGCAACCGGTGACAAGGAATTTACCACCATGGTGCTTAAATGGGATACTCCAAGCTACAAAACAACGTTAGCTTGATGAAGCAGTTTTGGTGTATAGAACATGCCCCTGCAGCCTCACTGCTTAAAGGGACACTATAGTCACCAGAACAACTACAGCTTATTGAATTTGTTCTGGTGAGTAGAATCATTACCTTCAGGCTTTTTGCTGTAAACACTGTCTTTTCAGAGAAAATGCAGTGTTTACATTACAGCCTAGTGATAACTTCACTGGCCACTCCTCAGATGGCTGTTAGAGATCCTTCCTGGGTTATGGCTGCCTAAAATGCATCCAAACATTCAGTGTCTCCACCCTCTGCATGCAGACACTGAACTTTCCTCATAGAAATTCATTGATTCAATTCATCTCTATGAGGAGATGCTGATTGGCCAGGGCTGTGTTTGAATCATGCTGGCTCTGCCCCTGATCTGCCTCCTTGTCAGTCTCAGCCAATCCTCTGGGGAAGCATTGTGATTGGATCAGGCTACCACTTCTGCTGATGTCAGCAGACTGTTTGGTTTTTTTGAGGCAAACAGCATGCAGAGTTACAGCTTCAGGCTTGAATACAGTAAGATTTTGCTATATTTATGGAGGCATGAGGGGCCCAGGGGAGCTAGATGGTGGTTTTAAACACTATAGGGTCAGGAATACATGTTTGTGTTCCTGACCCTATAGTGATCCTTTAATTCTCTGTCATTTGGGAGTTAAATCACGTTTGGTTCTGTTTATGCATTCACAGCCATACCTTACCTGGATGTGATCGACACAGTCAAGATGAAAAGATGGTTTCATTTTTAACCAGATGTGACAAAACAGTGTAATTTACTTTAGAAGTTTTATCTTTTTCTCGGTTAATTGAATTCTAAACAGGCTTTTAGAGCAAGAGATAAGAAATTCTCAATTAAACAGACTGTGCAATAAAGGAAGTTTAAATATTAGATCTCACATTACAGGAAATGTTTAGGAAGGCTGTGGAGGTCACATGCAGGGAGAAGTTACCTCCACGGCCTGTATAAACATCAAAAGGTCAGAGAGACTGCAGGAGCATGATCTATACACCAAAACTGCTTCATCAATAGACTAACCTCGTTTGCGGCGGGTCCTCTTCAACCCATCATTTCTGTAAGTTTACTTGTATTTGTCCTATTTAAAGTTAAACACCCCCCCCCCCCAATCCCCCTTTTATTGTAAAGCGCTATGGAATCTGTTGTCGCTATATAAACGGTAATAATAATAATAAAGCCAACAGTTTTCTAATGCTTATAGTGTCCCTTAACTGTGGATATCTTCCATCTACTTTCAGGTACTGAAATTTGATACTTGGCATAATATATATATAAATAATTTTTATTTTTTTTAATCCCTGCACACCAGCACCAACAGCAGAGATTCTTGAAGTATAAGCATGGATCTGAAAACAAATCTGATACAAAGGTATCAGTGTTTGCATTACATGAATTAATGCAAACCAAGTAATGTAATGGATTCAGTTTACAGCTCTTTTCTGAATGTATGATATATAAACAACATAAAAATAAAACTTGAAATCGTGACGGGAGGGTAGAAACCCAAATGTCATATTTGACATGTAAATACAACCTAAGATGTTACATTGTGTCATGATTCATTTAACAATAATAATGCCAAAATGGAGAAGTCTGTGTGAAGTACACCTTATGATTCAATAGCTTTATGAACAACCTTTAGCAGAAATAAATTAAAGCAATTGTTTTCTGTATGACTATCAGTCTTGCATCTTTTTGGAGGAATTTTGGCCCACTCTTCTTTACAAAGTTACTTCAGTTAATTGAGGTTTGCTGGCATTTGTTTATGCATGGCTCTCTTAAAGGACCACTATAGTGCCCTGAGGGTGCCCCCACCCTCAGAGCCCCCCTCTCGCCAGGCTCTAGGGGGTGAAAGGGGTTAAACTTACCTCTTTCTCCAGCGCCGGGCGGGGGTTTCTCCTCCTCCTCGGCTGAATGCGCGGCACGAGCCACGCGCGCATTCAGCCAGTCTCATAGGAAAGCATTCACAATGCTTTCCTATGGACGCTGGCATTTTCTCACTGTGAAAATCACAGTGAGAAGCGCGGAAGCGCCTCTAGCGTCTGTCAATGAGACAGCCACTAGAGGCTGGATTAACCCATAGGTAAACATAGCAGTTTTTCTGAAGCTGCTATGTTTATAGAAAAAAAAAAAAAGGGTTAAACCTAGCTGGACCAGGCACCCAGACCACTTCATTAAGCTGAAGTGGTCTGGGTGCCTATAGTGGTCCTTTAGGGTCCTGCCATAGCATTTTAATCAGGTTGATGTCTGGACTTTGACTGGACCTTTGCAACACCTTGATTATTTTCTCTTTCAGCCATACTGTTGTAAATTTGCTGGTGTGCTTCGGATCATTGTCCTGTTGCATAACCCAATTTCATCCAAGCTTTAGCTGCAGGATAGATGGCCCTTACAATTGACTCTAGAATATCTTTGTATACAGAGGAGTTCATGGTCGACTTAATGACCACAAGGCTCCCAGGACCTGCAAAACAAGCCAATATCATCAACCCTCAACCACTGTGCTTGACAGTTGATGTTTGGATTTCACCAAACGTGACGCTGTGCATAATGGCCAATCATCTCCATTTTCGTCTGCCCAAAGGACATTGTTACAGAAGTCTTGTGGTTAGTTCAAACTCAACTTTGCAATCCTAAGCTAGGCTACCATGTTCTTTTTAGAAAGCAGAAGCTTTTTCCTTGCAACCTTCCAAACAAACCATACTTGTTCAGTCTTTTTCTAATTGTACGGTGTTGAACTTAACTGAGGCCTGTAGAGTCTGAGATGTAGCTCTTGCATTTATTTTTGTAATTTCTCAGAGCTTTGCACGGTCTGACCTTGGGGTGAAATTGCTGGGACGTCCACTCCTGGGAAGATTGGCAACGCTCTTGAATGTTTTCCACTTTTGAATAATCTTTCTCACTGTAGAACTATGGACTTTAAATTGTTTGGAAATGGCCTTACAACCCTTCCCAGTTTGATGGGCAGCAACAATTGCTTCTCTAAGATCATTGCCGACGTCTTTCTTCATTAGCATTGAGTTTACATACATCTGTATGCTCCACACCGGCAAACTGCTAAAACTTCGGTTTGAATAGGAGGTGGTCCCACTTGCTGATGATCAAGTAATCAAGGGCAATTGATTAGCACCACCTGTCTACTATTTAGCCTCTTAATTCTCATGGAAACAGTAAGAGTTTAATTGGTTTTCCACACATGGCTTCTCCATTTTGGTTTTATTTGTGTTAAATAAATCATGACACTGTGTGAAAGGTCATGAGTTGTTGTTTATCTGAGGTTAGATTTTAAGACCTGCTAAGGAACAGATGACTGTTATATCCGGATATGTAAAATCATAGAATTCAAACAACGTGTACATTATTCTTCCCATGACTGTTAAAGGACCACTATAGGCACCCAGACCACTTCAGCTTAATGTGGTCTGGGTGCCAGGTCCAGCTAGGTATAGCCCTTTTTGCAGTAAACATAGCAGTTTCAGAGAAACTGCTATGTTTACCTATGGGTTAATCGAGTGTTTTCCTGGCACTATAGTGGTCTTTTAATGAAAAGATTAATGGATTCCTCAAATGATCCTGTATACATATGTCAGGAAATGTTTACAACTAATGTAAAAAAAAATAAAAGTTAAAGCAATGCCTGGTGAACAGATTTCAGCATATAGACCGTTTAAAAACACAACATTTCTGATGGCAGCGCTACTCTAATGTTTAACTTTACTAATTATTCTTTGGTTTATATTCTTGATACTGTTCCTCTTGGAGAATGATGGGGGGGGGGAATCAATGTAATGTGAAAGAATACTAGTATTTTATTACAGTGCGTAACCAAGAGGTTAAATTCTGTGAGCCAGAAGTACACAGCGGGTGCATTTAGACTAATGATGATCACATGAATAGATCCAAAAAAATGGTATAACCCCTCCCAGTCCAGCCGGTCACCCACTTCAGAGGCCCCCAGCAGACACGTCACTGCTGCTCTTGGCTGACCTGTGGTCCAACTCTCTGCTTTGATCTCCACCGGAAGCAAAGCTGGGACCCCAGGCCACAACCCTGCACCGTCACTTTACTGCAGGTCCCAGGGACCCGTGGAGAAAGACAGCCCAACACGGACAAACCTTCACACATCTCTCCTGGCTGCAAAAATATTTAAAGCCACATTTGCACCGTGTGATGGTCTCTTACTGGGAGGACCACAAATAGGTTTTTTTGTTATTAACAGGGCTTAGATTCCAAGGGTTGTTTCAGTACTGGTACCTTTGTAGGATAATTTCTTCTTGAGATCTGATAAAATTGTGGACTTGATTATGTTTTGTTGTTATTTTTTGTTTTTAAACTACAAGGAAAGTATACATGGCTGCAGTGTTTTAGAACAACTAAAAACAGAAAACAGGAATGCAAAAACTAAAATGTATCCCTGCCAATATACACTTCAGCTTCAAAAATACTTTAAGCAACAGCTGTGGAATGAGAAGGAGGACCATGTACCATAAATGTCAGAGAAAATAAATCATTTGGTACTATATAGTATTGATCTTTTAATGAATTATTGTGATGTTTTATTTGATGAATTCAAATTTACAATGATTGTTCTATAGTTGTAGCCTCAGCATTTTTTTATTTATTTTTTAATGCAGTTTACACCGAAAAATCCTACTTGTAGCAGCAGCAGGGCCCTCTTCATGTACTGTTCACATAGGTCATACATGTATTGATGAAATTAAAGGTTTGTCTTGTTTCCTATTGTATAGTGCTGCGGATATAAATAACTAATCATTTTGACAAAGTAAACTCTTAAAATGAGTCCATATTGAGGTTGATATTCATATCTACCCAACTTCGGAGACAACACTCAAAAAGAGCCAGCCATTAAAGACAGCCTGAAGTCCTGAAACCAAAAATCGATTTTCAGGAACAATGTGAAAACATAGGAACATGTAGATTTACAGTAAGAGAAATAATGTTTTATAGCTTAATGTAGTTGTTCTGGTGAGTATAAGCAGTCCCTGCAGGCTTTTTAATGTAAACGCTGTCTTGGAAGAGAAAAGGCAATGTTTACATTTTTGCCAAGGCACGAAAAAAAAATAAAACATTTTTTTTTTAAATTTTATTTTTTAAAAACCAACAGTATTAGCAAGCACTCACCCTGCTCCTCCGCCTGCTTGCTGCTCCATGCTCTCCTGCCGTAGGGCCGCCCACACAGAGTGTCAGAGCGCTTCTGCTCTGAAGACACCGTGAGGGTGGTGAAGACTCTGTGCACCGCCGCATTCCTCCTCATGCTGCCTGGCCGCACCTCTAAGTGGGTTGACCGCCCACTATTAGTACACCACTTTATGGGCTCCCTGCCTCCCTCTCTGTCCGGCAGCGTGGACGGCAACCAGGCCACACTGCTAGCGGTCCCGGCCTGCGGACACCTGTTGCCTGTCACTCAGCCACTGCCTTACTCATTTAACAATATTGGGACCCAAACTCAAAGATTGCAGTTTATTGATAAACCTATGTGTAACAGTGTCAAAAGCCTTACTGAAATCTATTTAAATAATGATGAGAGTGATAAACATGCACCATTATAAAAAAAAAAAAAACTCAGGATTCTTTTTCTTTTCTCAAATGTCACAGATAAACAGGTACCAAGAGTGAACAGCCAAGAAAAATGGATACTCTATCTCAGTTCTGTAGTTAAACACCAGACATGGGGCACTTCCCATGCATGACACTATTAGTACTTCCCTACCATCCTTTAAACGGTCCCCACTCATAACTGTCAACAGTGTGTACGTGTTATAACATGGAAACAAAATTATTACCAATCAGGTCCCTAATACGGTTAAAATAAATATCGCTACAGTCGTCTGGTCCTGTGAAAACTAATTAAACGGTTTGCTTATAGTACCTTGTGTCTCTCCTACTCAGCGGGTTTGTTAGAGGAATTATTTTCACATGTGCAGTCAGACATTCCAAAAACTTTCTGATAAGCAGAAAATAAACTTTACTTTTCAAAAGCTTAACCCCATGTAGCACAACCAAGGGTCATCACGGAGGGGAATAAAGCTGGTAAGGATGAAGAAATAACGGCAACAAAATTCAACTTGTAGACAAATGCATACACATACAGATAGTGCGATAGGGTTCTGTGAATTCAGAAGACCATGACATTGTTAAGTATATTTATACGTTTATATTGTACACATTTAGGGTATTAGAGCCCGCAATGTTTTTATACCAGCCATTTAGAGGTCTATTGGTGAGTAACGAACTCCTTGGAATCCATTAACGTATTCCTGTCTGCACCCTAAGTGGGTGAACATTGAAGTGTTTATCCAGAGACAGTTGGGTCTGTGAAACGGGCCGTTATCTCCGGTGTCGACGGACATGTTAAATCACAAACCCTTTGGCTTCCATTCTATTGTACACTATAAACAAAATATTTAAAGCTGTGTCTGGAGAGACAGGTCTATAGTAATGACAAACTGAGGCGACAGTAACAAGGCTCACTCTCATGTTCTTTATTACAAGACCACAGAACAGTTTTCCCATTTGTCTGTACAAATACACAGAAAAATACATGAAAATGTCACGATATCACAGTGGCTACAAATGAATGATTCTGGACATGATGTGCTGTCATCGACATCGAACGTAAGACAGCAGTGCCACCAAGTGGAGAGAAAAGGCTACTGAATCCACGAGGGTTATTGAAGTCACCACAGAATAGCGAGGGCTGCAGGCGGATGGTGGAGTATGTGACTGCAGGCCAAAAAGTAAAACTTTTATAAAAAAATTTAAAAAAATAAAAACACAGAAAAGAAACCTTATAGGAGTCAAAATGTAACCCATATATCTATTCGGAAGCTGAAATTCTTCCTTTTGCCCCCAGTTAGTATGCTGGATGTGGTGCATATTTAAAGGAACACTAGCATTACGAATACAAAACTGTATTCCCAATGCTATAGCGTCCCTCTGCTTATTTCTTTAGGTCGTAGAAGCCCCTTTTAACACTCTTAACATGAAGTCCCTCTGCACTAGATCGGTGTCTTCTTCCAGATACGTCACCACGATGGGGGAACCTTATGTGTATACACGACAAGTCCTGCAAGTGCATTAAATGTTTTTCCTATGGGAATTTTGAGGACGTTTGACATTCTAATGCAAAGCATGAGGACCTCCAATGTCGTTTCACAGAGTTAAAACCCAGTTAGGCACCAGGAAGCACCTCTAGTGGCTGTCTGGAAGAAAGCCACTAGAGGTTGTCTTAACTCTGTAATGTAAACATAGCAGTTTCACTGAAGTGTCCCTTTAAATTCTACACAATGGGCAAAGCTCGTCAGAGCTGCTGCTTCTTAAAGTAGCTCGCTACCAATTTTAACACGCCTCAGTTTGTTTCTATTCTTGAGGGAAAGGTGTAGACATCAAATTGCTAACACTCCCTACTTTCCTCAGAGAAAGGCTCTTTTTTTTTTTTTATACATGCAATTAGTTGAAAAAATAACTGTACTAATTTCATATCAAAACAAGGATTCCTCACTGAGCCAGCAGCGAAAAAACAGACAATTCACATACATACAAAGAGACAGGTTGGGATGAGTGCTGCCATTTCAAACATGCCTTTATGCCTGACCAGCTGCCAGACAACAGACCAAAAGGCAGAGTAAACTGCATAGCTGTGCAAAGATATGTTATCTTTTATATCACTCAAGTATATTGTTTATAAGACATGCTAAATGTTTAATAATGGTTACGGTTCCTTTAAAAGCAAACAGCATTGCTTGAAGAACACGCACCCTGGGGAGAGACGCGCAGGCCCTAACAGTTTTCAGTTGGTATATAATACAGAGGATATCTCTTTATGGCAGCTGTTAACAGCAGGTGTGTGAGTTATAGACAGGAACTTGTAACGTCTCTCGGCCTGTTTGATGTGTGCGGTCACAGAACCGGCAATTTACAAGCAATCTGCTAATACACATGATTTCTTTATGCATTCAGTAAGTAGAGAACAGCAGTTGATCATGCAAGGGGTGAGGACAGAAAAGCAAAAGTATGTGAATCCATATGGTCATCCATGGATTTTAACGAATACATTGCAATTAGATGCATTATGGTTTGTTTCAAAGAAGAGATCCTGCACAAACTCTCAGAACAGAGATTCTATTCGGAACCCTCCAGCAATATTTGGGCAGAAACAAGGGCCTTGTTAAAAGCACTTACTGCGACTGAATCTTGCGCTGAATCTCTTCTGTGCTTTGGTTACGTTTCTACCTGTATGGACATCCTGGTCCTGTGCACCACAAGGAATTTATCCCTGCTCATTTGGCGAGTGCTATCTCTCACACATTTGGCTTGTTGGCTCTCCCATTAGTCACATTCCACTGTGTAACCCTCTAGTGCTCCAAATTCACTTTCTTAATACTTGTGCTACAATTCCAAAAGTATTCCTGCTTAAACATTGTTGAAATGACCAGTAGTCCAATAACTTTTCTTTGAGACTCATTTCACTGCTCAAGGTATTCTAAAAAGGTGTTTGTGATAAAAGGTTTGAAGGGTAGTCCAGCATCCTATCTCACAGAACTGGCAGGCCGCCATCGCTTTGCACACCACTGGCAGGACGCCATCGCGTCGCACACCACTGGCAGGACGCCATCGCGTCGCACACTACCTTCTAGCGGTCATAACGTCACATACAACTCTTTCCTCAACTTCTTTCACTGCCTTATGTAAAGTAATGTTGGTTAATATTTTAGCACACAGGCCCTCCAATTATAGGTTCAACAAACTGGAGGATGAAACTATAGCATGGACTACACAACATACACTAAAAACTAAATTATGTAACCTGTGCTTCAGTTTATACAAGCATTCAACATAATAAAAGCCAGACAATTATTTCACCTGCAGACCCAGTGATGTTGAAACATAACAAGGTGAAAATAATTCAATTTCACATGTTTTGCATATGGTATGGTTTTAAATAACAGATTTACTTACATGCATCATCAGAAGGACACTGCTTATTTTATTGGTTAAGGCTAAAGTTCCTTTGGCTGTTGTCAAACCATTGTTTTGTACATGCGTGTGGTTTTGACAAAAGGCAGGGGGATTCCTAGAGTTAACCAACTCATTCCCTGATACCACAGTGAGACCATTCACTTCCTTTTTATCTGTACAGACACACGGCTTGTTCATTGCGTGCAATGACAGATTGCACATAGCTGGGCAGTAGCAGTATTTACAGAGATTCAGCAACACAGAGGCTGCAATCATGAGCCATTTTTGGTTTTCTCACAAAATGATGTACCCTGTGTAACATGCCATGTAGCGGCCATAAAACGGACCATCAAGTGAGTAATTATCCATGGCGAGATTTAGAAGTTCTTATATTGTGTTCATACAGAATGTCTTACAAAATATAAAAAAAAACGAGGGATCCCAAGACACAAAAGACCAAAACAAGTATAGAAATCTGTCCAGGTTTGTAGCACTTTTATAAACATAATGCTATATAAAAAGGCCCATAAGTTAAGATATAAATATTGTGATTACTCACTTTCTCTACCTTATGGACTGCAAGTCTATAGAAAATAGTAACTTTAATATAAATAAAATATTTTGATGACATGAAAAAAAATACGGTCAAAATCCTAACTTAATCCAGGTAAACTATTGGCTCTCTAAATATATGACAATACTGTGCATGCAAACTGCAGAGCCGACATGCATAAATCCCAGCCCCCTGTTAGTCAGACATGGAGCAGAGGGAGCACTTGCCAGCCTTTTTTTCACTTTTTTGTTAGTGGGGCCTCATGTTTGAGTTTCGCCTAAGGCCTCATAAAGTCTAGAGCCGCCTCTGCAGAAGGAGCCTCAGAAGAAAAAGAAGACTGTGTCAAATGAAGGAGAAGAAAATGAGATTGGAGCACTTCATTCTGGACACCACATCATAAGGCTTTGGTACCTGGGCCTGGCAGGGAAACTTTGGACCTCGTCATCTCCCCAGGTAAAAAAAAAAAAATATATATATCAGTGTTAATGTGTTCACTTTAATTTACTGAGTGTCCTGAAACACAGATGGCCGCTGGGTAAGGGTGCCGCTGATTGGCTAGAGGGTCAGCTGGCACTCAAAGCCAATCAGTAGCTCCCCATTCATGAAAACGTAAAACATTTTTATGAATCGGGAACTAGCGATTGGCTTAGAGCGTCAGCTGACCACTCTAGCCAATCAGCGGCACCCATGCCTGATGTCAATCTGCACTTCCTGACACTCCGTTTAAGAAGCTGAATACCACTGAGCGACCTGGAGATCTGGAGCTGGAGGAAGCCTTTGGGGGGTAAACCATTTGAGAGTGGTTTCACTCCTTAAAGGAAAGAGAGCGCCCAGGGGCCTCCTTGCATGATAGCATTTTCATTTAGTTGAAGTTGTTATGGTGACCAGAATGTTCCTTTAATTTGATTAAAGGAACACTATAGTGTCAGGAATACAAACATATATTCCAGACACCATAGTTGTAAAAAAGCTATTCCCTGGCTTTATGTGAAAATGACTATGCTCCTTCCCTTTCATGACACTGTCAAAAAGGGGCCAAGCATGGATGTCATTACAATTATGCCCACACCCCCCATGGAAAAATTCCTGCGGACCACCATGGCTGCATACTGACCTGTTTGCCACTATACATAAATAAACCAATCTATTTCTCAGCAGAGAAACCTGCAGATCAGAAGATAGAATCTATATATATCAAATCTTAGCTTGGACGTCAGATACAGCTCTGCAAGACACCCACACAGTGGCTCAGAGAGATCTGCACAAGAGAACATTAAAACACATCACAGAATGCACAAATCACACTAAAATACACACATGATTATTCAATAAACCACAAATCTTAGGCTAAAGTTGCAATCATAAAAAAATTAAAAATAATATTCTTCAACTGAGCTATTTTTTCAGGTTTAACGGTTTTCGCCTAAAATGTGAAATTTCCTGGTGAATTCCCAATTTAGTCAATAACCCTGACTGTGCTCAAATTCGCAAAAAAGTATTTCATGAGATTTCGAGAAAAATCACATTGTTCTGGACTGCTATTCAAGGTTCCACTGGGACTGCAGCAACCAAAACAAAACACTGAAGGGAATTCAAAGGAAGTCCATATCACCATAGTTCCTCACACTACAGGGAACAGACATACATTTGAAAGAGACATTTAGGGGGCGGAGCCTAGCTTCCTAGCAGAGTGGACGTGCTGCATGATAGCTCCCGCAAGCCAGCCACTAAAACGGGGGATATACCCCAAATCATCGCACTCACACCGCTGGGAAGGTGACTATAGAGTGGGGGAGACCCGGGAAAACGTTTTGATACCAAACTTGTACCCGCAACTTACCGGGTCCCACGATTCCAGCTTGAGGCCTAACTGCAATCGAGCCTGGGAGAGGCGGCCGCTCTCTTGGATGGTAACCTTGCAGATGGCAACCTCACCGTACTCACCTCTAAACCCCCCGGACCGGCAGGGGTTATGCCGGTCCTCGCTGGGTGCCACAGGCAGCCGGCCACCATTGCTTCCAATCACCATGAGGCAGCAAGGTACACCCAAGATGGCAGAGGATGGCGGCCGGCACAAGTGAACGCAGACCCTATGCACCAAGCATCCCTAACACAGCTTGCGGCGCCTGGATGCTCACTGCAGCCAACACAGGGCCAAACAACGAACTAAACAGCAAGCAGCCCAGCCGCCAAGGTATGCAGAGGCCCGCACGGGTGAACAGTGCCGAAAGCGAGCAGACGGCCACACACTGAGCCCTCCAAACCAGAGTGAACTCATACCTTATACTGAAGCACATGCCTAATAGTACTCTGCATCTGTGTCTTGTACTTTCCTTTTCGAGCCATACCACGCATAGCTTCACTATATCTGCACCCAGCGATACCGTAACCTAGCTTTGAATCACTAATTTGTCAAACCTACTTTATCAATATGCTGCCAGTTTCATAGCCTGCTGTAAAACATTTACCTAAAGCCTGGCTAGTCAAACGTTTATCTGTTGCTCCACTCTATGCTTAACTCTCTTTTGGAATGTCTCTTCTTAAATGTGGCATAGAGGGATGTAACCGCTGTTTTCCTTATGTTCTCTATATTAAAAAATTGTGCATGTCAAATCTACAGTAAAGCTCAGCCAGAGGACTGCCTTTGGGGCACCTCAGGACTGTATGTCATTCTATATTGCACTGCAAAAAAAAAGATTTAATAACCACTTTAGCTCTCTAAATTTCAAGGCACTGCTCCCCAGTAAGTAGCCATAAAATTTTTGGATGTTTTCACAACTTACCTGGGTCCTGCTAGATACCCATGGCCACTGCGGCTGGAGTGTTTCTTTATAAACAGAATTGCATTGCTAAATAAAATGCCAAGCAATTTAAAGGAACACGCCACAGCCCAAATGGGGAAAAAAATATAAAAGGAGAAATTGCTAGCTATTTAGTAGATATACCCGCAATTAACTCATACATATATTTTTCATGCATGTATTCATTGGGGATATCTTAAAAGTGCTTGCAAAAGCTGCAATTCTTATGAACTCCTCATCCATAAGCAAGCTGAAGTGCTTTATAGATGCAGAGTGGTCCTTTAAGAGAAGACAAACTACCATGAACACATACAGTATTGAGGACATCCAAGAGTGGCATCAGGATTTGAGATTATATATATATATATATATATATATATATATATATATATATATATATACACACACACACACACATACATACACACACACACACACACACAAATTTGGGGTTTTCATGTGGACTATGTGTTTTTAGATTTGTTCCATATAACTTTCAGGTTTGGAGAGAACAAAAAGTCTACCTATATACATATAATACAGTTCGTTCACACACTTTATTATATTTATAGCACGGTTCAACAGAGACTCTGATTGGTCTCTTAGGGTTTCTTGATTACATGCACATAGGACCTTATTTTCTCAACTAGCTAAACTAATTGCCAATAAGGTGGGAACAAATACATATTTTCCTAAACGATTTCCTGAAATTTCCAATACCATTTCAAATTGCCCACAATTCACAGTTTAGCAAATAAACTCCAAACTTTGCAAGATGTATTAGTTCTGGCAAACAGAATGATTAACATTCTAATATCCCGGGTATTGCTTGCACACCTGCTGTTAACAGCTGCTAAACAGACATCGACTGTATTTATACCAACTGAACATCTAATGGAGCCTCCCTATTTGGGCTACACATGACAGCAGGATACCAGCAACCACATGTGTTCATACAACATCCGGCAACCTTACTTATATGTGCATGTGCGCAATGCGCACAACTATAGCCAAGGGGTGAAATAACAGTATTAGGAAAGCTCTTGTTCACATTTAACAAGACTGTGAAGGGATTCATTTCTGCTCACTCTACAACAACACTTATGAGAACTTTAGATTTTATAGAGCAGTGCATTAAGCCAGATAAATGTGGATTTACTATGAAACTCAGACGCGGTACACTTCATCTACAGTTCAAACATTATTATAAAGTTTACCTACAAATCAACAGACATATTCTTCAGCCTGCTACAAACATTAACACGACATACTCAGTTTGCTGACATTTTTAACTGTGACAAAAAAAAAAAAATTGTATCAAAATGGTCTTACTAAAGACAAACAAATGTCCACATTTAAAGGGTTATTTACCAAAGTGAAAATTGTTAGGAATTTCAAAGAGTAAATTTCAAATGTAAGGCCAAAATAACTGTTAGCATCAAAGCAATAATTTGGAGAGAATTTCTTCAGCGATACAATTACCTTTAACTCTGGCCAATTAACATTCACTTAAACGCACATTGCGTGGTATAGTTACCAATCTTTGTGCTGTAAACCGATAAAGCATTAACAGTAATCAGTAAAAAGCTACACGCAAACAGTCTCTCTTTTGCAGGTTCTCAGTGAGCATGATCTACCTTAATTTGCACTGAAAATAAAAAATGACTGCAATTTCTCTGTCATATTGACACAATCCCTGATTCCCCCCAAATGTTTGCTATGCAGAAATTCAAGTGCGCCGTCACAAGTACAACATCACATTTACACCCCAACAAAATTTTTCATATAAACACTGCAAGGAAGGCATTGCCCACATTCATCCATTTACTTATAGGAGAGTTTCCAGTTCATTGCTTCCAATTATTGAAAGTTAAACCCCTGCCCTACTGGGTCCATTTCGGGATATGTATGTGGACAGCAAAATTGATAATTGGAATTAAAGGCCAACAAAATATCTCTTACTTGGTGGCAAACCACAACTTGATGTTGTGGTCAGAGTGAATAAAGTGATTTATCCATTGATTTGCAGGTGTAGGGGGAAAATAAAAACCTTTATGTTATAATGCTAAGTGCATGAATGAGCTGCCTATGTCCCTTTTCTGTCATTTGTTTTATTAGCTAATTAGTGATCAGAGATCCTTGCCTCTCTCAAGAAGTGTCAGTGCAGAAGGGTTACTTGGCAACGGAGTAACCAGGAAGTAAACAGTGAAGAGAATGCACACAGTGCGGCATGCATTGATTGAAGAGATAAATGAAGCAGAGGTCTTGAAAGGAGGAACACGATGGCCGCATGTCTCTTTTTAAGCTATGTAACATGGCAATAAATTAACCTGTAGTAGAATCAACCATTTATTTGGCAGTTTACATGCGAGAACCCCACATTTCAGTGTGTGCACTAACACCCCAACTTGCAGTCAGCGCTCAGACATTAAAAACAGTAAAACACATCAACAGCCTTCTTCATACTGACTGTGAACTACACAGGGCAGCCCGCAACCCATAAAATATGTTCACGGATATCTTGCCTCCCAGCTCCACAAAAAAAACGCAACACAATGACGCTGTGTAGACTACATATACACAAACACAATATGTTTTCAAATGATACACCGCACAGACAGAGCAGTAACGAAAAGAGAAGTATGCACAAATCACCACTTTGAAGTCTAGGGGCCCAAATCATGGCAGCTGAAACAGTTGCTTCCTGGGACTGCAAGGCTCACTTATCTCAGACAGCAGGAGCATATGTAAACCCAGCATCGCCCTTGCAGTAAAGTCCCTCCCTTAAAAGGACCACTATAGGCACCCAGACCACTTCAGCTCAATGAAGTGGTCTGGGTGCCAGGTCCATTTAGGTTTAACCCTGCCTGCTGCAAAGATAGCAGTTGCAGATAAACTGCTATGTTTACATTTGGCTTAATCCAGCCTCTAGTGGCTGTCTCATTGAGAATGCTTTCCTATGGACTGACTGAATGCGCGCGCGCGGCTCTTGCCGCGCATGCACATTCAGCCGATGACGTTCGAAGGAGAATCCCCAGCGCCAAGGGAGCCCAGCGCTGGAGAAAGGTGAGTGTTTAACCCCTTCCTCCCCCTAGAGCCCGGCAGGAGGGGGGACCTATTAATACTATAGTGCCAGGAAAACTAGTTTGTTTTCCTGGCACTATAGTGGTCCTTTAACAACTGTACGAAACCAGTGGTTTCCAAACCAGTCCTCAAGACACACCTACCAGTCCAGAATTTAGGGATTTAGCAGTTGTGTCTAAGGTGGTTAATCCCTAAATTCTGGACTGGTAGGTGTGCCTTGAGGACTGGTTTGGAACCCACTGCTCGAAACATTGTTTTTCCTTAAAGATGGTCTGTTGAGAGTTGTTATGGGATGGTTATAAAACTGCCAATTTCTCTTGTAATTGGAACTTCTATAAAATAAAACTGCAGGGACGCGGTTAACCCCTAAAGCACTTCAGCTGCCACGGAGTGTAATGCAAAATGCATTGCTCCCAGTCAGTAACAAACCACAAAGTGTCTATACAACTTTAACAACATTTTGCAAGAAGCACAAAATAAACTTCTTCCTAAACTATCAATGTATAAAAAATAAATTAAAAAAAAAACAAAAAAAAAAAACACATCAACATTCCAAAGGGTCATTTTACTTACATTTCCAAAAATACTGCCATGCAGAATTACTTATTCATTCCTTACAAAACCTACAAACATTCTACTAACGAATGAATAGGGCAAGAAGGTAATGAGAGCTCAATACATAGCCAAACCTTGCATCAATTTGTACACAATGGCAAAATATTTGTGTTTTTCCAAGTTTGGGGGTTGTGTTTTTTTTTTTTTTTTGCAGAGATTAACAAACACCCCAAAATGTCTAACAGCTAACTCGTTTATATCCTAAACTAATAGATTTTTTTTTTAAGAAAAAACTGTTCAGAAGCCTAGTTAGTTTCTGATGCAGGATGTATGTGTGGTGCCTACACAGGAAACTTATAGATTAAACAGGCCAGCATTTCACAGATTGGGGTGAAACAAACATCATTTGGGTGTTTCCAGCTACTTTTTGGCACAAATTCATAAAAATGACTTACCATTTGGAGATCTTCATTCACGTTTAATGTATCAGAAGGAATCTGTTGTAGTTGGTTTCGTAGAAAACTGGAAGCCAGGCAATTCAATAGTCCATACCCTAAAATCATTACAGAAGGATCAGTCAATACCTTAAAATATGGAGGCAAATTGTCCTACAATGCAAGAGCAGTTACACAATGGTACAGGCACCATGTGCTTTTCAAGTAGGACTTTGTGTACTATACCTCCTTACCTCGCAAACTGCTAATGCAAATAACTCAGATGGAAACAGAATATCAACTATTCACAAAGATCACTGGGCTAATGGCATAATAGAATGGGAGTTAAATGACCCTCAACAGAATTTTATACCAGATTAGAAAGAATGTGAGTCTCTAGCGTGGGTGATCGAGTTCAAATTTCAAAGTTTCAAAATGAACAGATAGATTATTTGACTTTCATTTTCACTAATGAAGCACAAACAAGTTGAATGAGAACAGTCAGAGAAAAAGCAGCAGTTTCCAACTTAGTCTCAATTTATTCCTGACGTTAGTTAACCCGTCTTGCACTGAGGCATAAAAGCATACACGTTTATTTACGTAGGGTGCTCCTATCCAACAGGGATATCTGTAGTGACCCACCACTAAAATAGTTATGGGGAAAAAACAAAAATCAAGACAATATAACAAAATTTTTTACAATTTTGTTAGATACAGGATCATAACAGACTACATATACACAAACACAATATGTTTTCAAATGATACACCGCACAGACAGAGCAGTAACGAAAAGAGAAGTATGCACAAATCACCACTTTGAAGTCTAGGGGCCCAAATCATGGCAGCTGAAACAGTTGCTTCCTGGGACTGCAAGGCTCACTTATCTCAGACAGCAGGAGCATATGTAAACCCAGCATCGCCCTTGCAGTAAAGTCCCTCCCTTAAAAGGACCACTATAGGCACCCAGACCACTTCAGCTCAATGAAGTGGTCTGGGTGCCAGGTCCCTCTAGTGTTAACCCTGCAGCTGTAAACATAGTTTCAGAGAAACCGCTATGTTTTCATTGAGGGTTAATCCAGCCAAAACAGGCCGCTTCCGAGATCCTTAATGCGAAAATCGCATTAAACTCACGCTGGACGCCCATAGAAAAGCATTGAGTAATGCTTTCCTATGGGCAGCTTGAATGCACGTGCGGCTCTTGCTGTGCATGCGCTTTAGGCGCTGACGTCTGCAGGAGAAGAAAAGGTCACCAGCGCCGAGGGAGCCCGGCGCTGGATTAAGGCAAGTGGCTGAAGTGGTTTTAACTCCTTCAGCCAGGGGGGAGGAGGACGACCGAATAACCTTATAGTGCCAGGAAAACGAGTTTGTTTTCCTGGCACTATAGTATTCCTTTAAATGAACACTATAGGCACCCAGACCACTTCAGCTCATTGAAATAATCTGGGTGCAATGTCCTTTTTCCCCTTAGCTCTGCAATGTTTATATTGCAGTGCCAAGACTAGTGACTGTCCACAAGACAGATCTGCTTCCTGCAGTTTCACCTTTTTTTAACTCTGTGAAATGACACTGGACATCCTTTTACTTTGCATGAGGACATCCTGCATCTTGAAAAAAAACTCAAAGGAAAGGGTTTAACCCCCTCACACCCTATTGCTGACTTGGGTGAGGCTGAGATGAAGCCAGCCCCAAGAGACCTCGGTGCTGGAAAAAGGTAAGTGTTACAAGGTTTTTTTTAACCCTTTCAATGTGGGGGGAGAGCTGGACAACCTTAGGGCAGAGGGACACTATAGTGATAGGAATACAGTTTTGGATTCCTAACGCTATAGTGTTCCTTTAGGGAAGCAGATGTGGTGTATAGATCATGCATGTCTCACTGCTCGATTGTGTGCCATCAAAAGTGCATATAGTATCCCTTTAACGCTGTTACGGCGTTCTATGCCGTCCCGCTTTAATTGGGCTTTAAAGCCCAGTATACTCACCTTACTGGCGCCCAGTATACACACACACACACACATACATATAATTACATAAAAGATTACATTAGTATACACGTAGAATTTAAGTACCTATAAATGCATATATATTAAAATTCTACATGTATATTTAAGTAATCTTTTAACAATTATGTGATTTGATTAATTCAAATTGATTGACATGCCTGACAACACAGGGAGAAAGTGCAGAGAATTTAATTTGCAAGCACTATATTTGACCCTGTAACTCTCCAAGACACCATAAAACCTGTACATAGGGGGTACTGTTTTACTCAGGAGACTTCGCTGAACTCAAATATTAGTGTTTCAAACTGGTAAATTGTATTACAACGATGATATTTTAAGTAAAAGTGACTTTTTTTGCATTTTTTACAAACGAACGGCACTTTTATGGACTATATTATTGTTGTAATACATTTTACTGTTTTGAAACACTAATATTTGTGTTTAGTGAAGTCTCCCGAGAATAGCAGTACCCCCCATGTACAGGTTTTATGGTGTTTTGGAAAGTTAGAGAGTCACATATAAGGCTTGCATTTCATTTTTTTGACATAGAAATTTGCCAGATTGTTTATGTTGCCTTTGAGAGCGTATGGTAGCTCAGGAATGAGAATTACCCCCATGATGGCATACCATTTGCAAAAGTAGACAACTCAAGGTATTGCAAGTCTTTCTTAGTAGCCACTTAGTCACAAACACTGGCCAAATATTCGATTTTTGCTTTTTTCACACAAAAACAAAATATGAACGCTAACTTTGGTCAGTGTTTGTGATTAAGTAGCTACTAAAAAAGAGTAAACATACACCACTTTCAATACCTTGGGTTATCTACTTTTTCAAATGGTATGCCATCATGGGGGTAATTTTCATTCCTGGGCTACCACACCGTATCAACGGTAACATTACTAATCTGTCAAATTTCAATTTGAAAATGGAACGTTCTATATTTGACCCTGTAACTTTCCAAAACACCATAAAACCGGTTAATGGGGGGGTACTGTTGTACTCGTGAGACATCGCTGATTACAAATATGTGCATTTTTTTGCAGTAAAACCGAACAGTATTATGACATTCACAGCTAAAATGTCAGACGGAAATAAAAATAAAAAAATGGAATGCCAATAAACTTGTTCCTAAGCCAAAAGTGGCAGCCCTACCTTTGATTTGAGAGAGATTGATTCCAGAAAGACAATTAATTTAGTAACTGTTTACTTTCAGTTATTACATATTGCATGGAATATCTCTTACATAATAACTCATTTAAAAATAAAAAAAATCTTACTATAATCTTTAGGTTATAATATACCATGCTTTAAAGGAACACAACTGCTTGTACTGCCATAACCACTATGGTACCCCACCCCCCATCTACCCAGAGCCATTCCCCACCTTTACTACTTCAGACAGAGTTGCAGCCCTCTGAGATTCGCCCGACAGTGCAGCTGATGCTCTAAGCCAATGAGTTAGCCTTACTTAGCAATTTCGGTCTTATCATTGATAGTTGAGGAGCCATGGAGCAACACCCACCAGACCACAGGTAAGACATCAAACCATTCTAAAACAGATTGACTACTTACAGTGAGGGGGAGCCAGATCACCATAGTCACTGCAGAGTACTACAGTGCATTGCAATGGATAATTGTCAGTTATTCCAGCCAATACTCCATATTTTGCAGTCTGAACCAAGATGCAAGTCAGAAATGGAAAAAAAAAATTTTTTTTACAAAGTCAATAAACTTGAATTAAAAAAAAAAAAAAAAACACAATAGGGCATGTTACATTATAACAGATTATATTAAGAGATTACATTTTTCTTTAATGACAGCTAGTCTAATAAAAATAGATACATTTTTTTAATTCCTTGAGACAAATATAAATTATACATGTAGCAAAACACACACACAAAAATAAATTGGCTCAAGTCTGGGGGTTCATAATGACTAATGAGTCACACTAATACAAGGTAATAGATTACACCCACACATGAGATTGTTTTACTGGTTCTCCCATTAATAAACATGATCCTTCCAGGAAAAACAATTCTGTCACGGAAAGCAGCGAATAATTGCATTTCATTGCTTCACTACCCAGGTATTTGAGTATAGAGCAGAATTTTGCATAGATTGCTCCTTGACTCACCCTGCTCCTTAATCAGCCTTCAGTCAACAGTGTACATGTATCATGTATTCAGAAAGCTATCAAAGCACACTAGTCCTATGTAGACACACAATTCTAGCCATATACGCTATGGGTTTATTGTAAAACGCCCTGTAGCACTGTAAAGTCCACTATCTTTTGTTTGAAGCACCAAAACAACCAGAAGTTTTGGGGTGTGTATGTATGTATGTATGTATGTATGTATGTATGTATGTATGTATGTATGTATATATATATATATATATATATATATATATATATATATATATATATATATATATATATATATATATATATATATATATATATATACACATACACATACTGTTGTTTCACTGCTCAATTATATGCTACTAAAGGACCACTCTAGGCACCCAGACCACTTCAGCTTAATGAAGTGGTCTGGGTGCCAGGTCCCTCTAGGATTAACCCTTTTTTAAATAAACCTAGCAGTTTCAGAGAAACTGCTATGTTTATGTTAGGGTTAATCCAGCCTCCAACTCCTCTAGTGGCTGTCTCACTGACAGCCGCTAGAGGCGCTTGCGTGATTCTCACTGTGCATTCAGCCGAAAGGGAGGAGAGGAGGAGGAGAGCTCCCCGCCTGGCGCTGGAGAAAGGCAAGTGTTTAACCCCTTCCTCTCCCCAGAGCCCGGCGGGAGGGGGACCCTGAGGGTGGGGGCACCCTCAGGGCACTATAGTGCCAGGAAAACGAGTATGTTTTCCTGGCACTATAGTGGTCCTTTAAGGTGTTAAATCACCTTGTTTACGCAGCCTTGGCCACACCTCCCCTGGCTGTGACTCACACTGCCTCCTTACGCGTCTTGAAAAAGGGTCTAAATTTGTTAACTTCTCATGTTGTCTCCTACTCTGTTAATTGCCTGCTAGAGCCTGCATGCTATTAACATTTTAAAGTAAACTCAATGTGCTGTAAGATCTGATTGATAATGAAACCATTTTTTCTTGGAGTCTGTGAGTCACAGCCATGTGAGGTGTGTCTAGGGCTCTCTTTTCAGAAACAAAAAGTGATGCAACTCCTAGATGGCACAGGCTTGAGCAGCGAGACTGCAAGGGTGTGATCTATAGAACAAAAAAAAAAACACTTAAAGGATCACTATAGGGTTAGTAACAAAAACATGTATTCCTGATCCTATAGTGTTAAAACCACCATCTAGCCCCCCTGGACCTCTCATGCCTCCCTAAATATAGCAAAATCTTACTTGTATTCAAGCCTGAAGCTGTAGCTCTGCATGCTGTTTGCCTCAGAATAGCAAGCTGTCTTCTGACATCATCAGAAGTGGTGGCCTGATTCAATCACAGTGCTTCTCCATAGGATTGGTGGCGACTGACAAAGAGGCAGATCAAGGGCAGAGCCAGCACAATTTAAACACAGCCCTGGCCAATCAGCATCTCCTCATAGAGATGAATTGAATCAATTAATCTCTATGAGGAAAGTTCAGTGTCTGCATGCAGAGGGAGGAAACACTGAATGTTTGGATGAATTTTAGGCAGCCATGACCCAGGAAGGATCTCCAACAGCCATCTGAAGAGTGGTCAGTGAAATTATCACTAGGCTGTAATGTAAACACTGCATTTTCTCTGAAAAGACAGTGCTTACAGCAAAAAGCCTGAAGGTAATGATTCTACTCACCAGAACAAATGCAATAAGCTGTAGTTGTTCTGGTCACTATAGTGTCCCTTTAATTAAGTTAATATGGCTTTGGTGTTTAGAGCATCCCTTAATGCAAACATGGAAAAAGGTTTATGAATTTACCGTTCTTTTAAGAGTATATATTACCAACAGATTTAATGCAAATCCAAATGTCCTACAAAATATTCACAGGTAATGTCAAGGTAATTGATAAGGCACATTTTGTCAACAGCGAGATACAGTCTTAAAAGTAGCCATCAGTGAGGCACGGTGTCTTAGGAAAGTCCCTAACTGCATTTGCTGTAAATGCAGTGGAATTCTATTGTTAGCATAGCTCACTAGAAGAAAGGTAGAACAAACATGTGCCACAGACACTCATATCCTTAAAGGAAATTATTTAATAAAAATTCCATCATAAACCATTATTGGCTAATAGCAACACAAATGGATAGTAAGGGTTATTGGGTTTTTCATTGGTATCACGCCAGAGGTGTTCTTGAAGCTAGCATCACCCTAGGAGGGAACAGTTTATGGAAAATATAATAAATGTATACAAATTGTTTTACTGAAATTGTCTTTTTTTTCCCTCCATCATGTAACTTTCAATGGTAGCGAGAACATTTAAAAGGAGTTAAAGGGACACTATAGTCACCAGAATGCTGGCGTCTAAAGTCTGTCCCTGCAGGCTTTTTAATATAAATGCTTCTTTTTCCCCAAAAAAATAAATAAATAAAAACCACCTCTTGATTCAATACATCTCTACTGATTGGCACAGCAAGTCGTTTTCACACTCATGCGCAATAGCCTCCCAATGCTTACCCATGGGAAAGCATTGGGTTGATTGGCTGAGATCACCAGGATTGATGATCTCAGCTATGGAGGAGGAGCCAGCCGCACAAGACCAGCATGAAAATGGAGGAAAGTTAAGTTTAAAAACCTTCTAACTTGACATTGAGGGGGCCAAACACCTAAACTGCTACTCTAGCACTATAGTGCAAGGAAAAAAGTTTGTCTTCCTAACACTATGTTGTTCCTTTAACCCTTTAAGGACACATGACATGTCCCTTTTATTCCTGAAGTTTGGTCCTTAAGGTTAAACTATACCAACATAAACACAAACACCCTCTAGAGGGCGATAATGAACCACAAGAAAACAGCTGTGGCATTGGTCAGACATACAATTGGCTAGGATTTAGAAGGAGCATACACTGTATGGGTTTGTCTGCTGTATATACTAAATACAGAAGAACACTTTAGAAAAAGAGTTCTCCAATGTATTAGTTTATATCAATCAAGTTATTAGCAATGGTTTACAATGTTCTGTTCTGCATGTTTGACAGAAGAATTGTGATGTATATTTTAGACTTCTCAGAGAATGCCATTTAAACAGCTTCCTTACCACAATCCCTCTTAGGTTGTATATGTTTCAAATGTTAATGTCAGTTTTATTGTAATGGATTCATTGGTTTCATCAAAAAAAAAAAAAATAATAATAATAATTAATCTATATAGCTCATTGGGGTTTATTCACTAAACACAGAATTTTTGTGAATTGTAAAATTAAAATGTTAGGCAAAAAAGTATAGCAGCTTCAACTCAGATTTTGTGCTTGTTTTATTTATACCATTGTACAGCGCTACGGAATCGGATGGCGCTATATAAATAAAATAATTGAATATGGGCCTAAATATGCAATTCAGTTTAGAATTCACCACAATTTGTTGTTTAGTGATTAAATCCTATAACTCTGATCTAGTGTTACTGCACTACCGTATCATTGAACCTGCTAACTCTTAGATCCAGAAATACCCTTCACCTTTCTTGCAAAAATCCTAAACACTTATATTGAAAGCCATGGCTTTACATCTCCAGTTTGTTCGCACACTTCCCAACATTGGGAGGAGATATTTTGAGATCCGCGATGGTGGCTCGTGGGAAACAATTTGTATTACTTTTGGTGCAGTTGGAGCAGGTCTGCTCAGAAAAGGGGGCATCAGGCTGGCTCACCGCTGCACTGGCTAGCCCACACACAGAGCACCATTGACATTTTCTTCCATGGGCTGAATGCCCCCAGTATACACAGCCTCAATGACATCTAATGATGCACTTAAACTGAATTTTCTTGAGTCTTACGAGAAGTAAGACACCAAAGCCATGCTTCCCTTATAAATTTCACAGTAGAGGGCCACATAGCTGCAAGTTTAGCATAGATAAGGGACCAGGAAGTTATTGGCATTGCTCTCAAAGGGAGCTCTGGTTATCCTATAAAACTCTGTTTAGCTGGAGATATGATTTGTAGCAAAGAGATGAATGAAACAACTTGGCAATCCAACAATCTACTATGCAGTTTATTTGAACTTGCCAAATAGCTTAATGACCCAATATTTTATTTTAAAGCATTCCAAAGCCAAACGCATAAAAAAATAAAAAAAATAAAATATAATAATATATATATATATATATATATATATATTCTATATTAAAACCACACACATGGTTTGATGGATCCACAAAATGCAATATGTAGCGGGTCTGGCAAATCAGGAGGTACATCTTTTCTCACAGAGTTTAGAGGCATCAAGGTTTATTGAATAAACAGTGAATTGACAATCAAATTGCAAAAACAATGCTAATAAGATTCAAATTGTAAATAGTTGAATAGGAGAATGTATCCAACTCAGTAGTTTGAGATTAGTTTCTGAATTTGGGCTAAATGGTTGAATTCGTGAACTCAGACTAAATAAACCCAAATCATGAACCAAACAGGTCATGCAATTGCAGAACATATTTGGTTTCATTAATGAGCTCCACCAATGGAGAGGAAAAAACTAATGAAAAACATTTGAAAACAAAATGATAGATGGGAAAAAAAACCAAAAAATTATATCAAGGAGGCAGTCACTAAATGTGTATTTTATTAGAATATGTATATATTTTACAGTACACAGATTGGGCCATTTTCATGATTAATTTCCAAACTATGTTTCAGTACAGAAATTCCACCAAGCCAAATAGACATATGGCCAAAATTCGGCCAAACCGAATTTTCTCACTGTCTGGGATCTAAATTTGGGGTTTAAAAAAAAAAAAAAACTGGGTTTTTAAATTCATTCTTTGGTGAATAAGCTCCATGAAAGCAGACCTGTGTTTCTTCCTGATGGCATGTCAGCTATGGAGAGAGAAGAGATTTTCTCCTGAAAACCGCCATTTTCCATGCCAACATATTTTACTGTTACAGTCCAACAGAAGTTTCTGCAAGAGCAGAGTCATGTTTGCCCAACTGTGCAAATTGGGTTTCAATGAAAGATCCAACTGGGTTCCACCGATCAGTTCATGTATGCAATACAGACATCACACTGCACGGATAGACGCCTTTTCCCATCAGCCATTTTCCAAGGAATACAAAACCAATATTTGGTCTTCCGCATACTGTTTGATTATGCTGGAATTTCAATAATTTTGTTAAAGGATCACTATAGGGTTAGTAACACAAACATGTATTCCTGACCCTATAGTGTTAAAACCACCATCTAGCTCCCCTGGGCCCCTCATGCCTCCATAAATATAGTAAAAATCTTACTGTATTCAAGCATGAAGCTGTAAATCTGCATGCTGTTAGACTCAGAAAAACAAGCTGTCTGCTGACATCATCAGAAGTGGTAGCCTGATCCAATCACAATGCTTCCCGACAGGATTGGCTGAGACTGACAAGGAGGCAGATCAGGGGCAGAGCCAGCATGATTCAAACACAGCCCTGTCCTCATACAGATGAATTGAATCAATGAATCTCTATGAGAACAATTCAGTGTCTGCATGCAGAGGGAGGAGATACTGAATCACAGGATACTGTGCACAGTGCTGCCCTGTGCTCTGCTGACAGCAGATCTGAGTGGATGGAGGCATATTATGCCTCCATCAACTCCGAAGTCCCTCTGGTTCACTCTGAGTGACTGCAACTGGAGGTGTTCCTAGCTTTCAATGTAAACACTGTATTTTCTCAGAAAATACAGTGTTTACATGAGAAAGGCTGCAGGGAGCTATAGTTCTCACCTGAACAACCTTATTAAGCTGAAGTTGTTCAGGTGACTATAGTGTCCCTTTAAGTCTGCTATAGCTCGTAAAATATATTAAATCTTTGAAAGTTAAACAACAAGATTCCTGTGACATTCATACTGCAGTTCTTTTCTTTTTTTGGTCGGTGGGGGGGGGAATTTAGTGAAATATTATTAAGAAATAATGTATATAAAGAAGAAAGAACACAATATAAGCCGCCACAGCTCTTACACAGAAAGGGTTACTGCAAAATGAAAAAAAATAATAATAATTGTAATGCAAAAAATAGCCTAACTGAAAACAGTGCTGACTTATGAATTTTTCCCAATCTGACTATTTTGGCCTACGCAGATTCCGTAGGGTTTCCCAGCAATTTCCACTAGTCAATAATGCAAACAGTAACTTTTCACGTGCCTCGTTTATAATTGTGGATAGAGTTACATGCAATTTACCACAATCTGGTTCTTCCCACGTGTGGAATGCAAATCTGTATTCTATTTAAACAAAATAGCATTTGTATTGCTTATTAACTAACAAATTGGGACAATGAGAACAATGATTCAATCAGATTTCTAACTCTGTAAATATTTTCAAAGAAACATACAACTCAGCCATTTCGGCCATAAATGTGCAATAACTATTTAAAACAGGTCCACAAATCCCTGTTTAATGAATAAATGCCTTTAGGTTTTTATTAATTCACTAATCACAAGGTTTGACAGCCCTGGTTTTTAACATTAACAAACACTGGGGGTATCGGCTCCTTAAACTTCCTCAAACAGGAACTGCACAGATTTATCCAGATTCACACCTACAGCTAACCACCTGTAACAGAAGAACGGGGCGTATTGTGACTTCAAACCATTGTGTGCCTCCTCAATAGGAAAGGCATGCAAGACGTTGGGCCTTATGTATAAAGAACACTTTAGGGACAAAGGGCTAAACGTGAAGCCATCACCTTGGAAATTTCTGAGTATTCTTTCAGATTTTTAAATAAATAAATAAATATATATATATATATATATATATACACACACACACACACATATACATACATACACACACACAGTGGCCTGGATTTGTGGGAGGGGTTACCTGGCTATTTATACGCAATCAACCCCCTTACCCTTCGCTCAATTCATCCCACTACCTTGGTGGGCTGTCTATTATTTAAAGGTCTACCTGAACGTTTGTTGCAGCACTCCACCTCCAACTTATTGCATTATTACAGCTTTTGTCCCCGACCACAAACACACACATATATATATATATTTATATTTTTTTTTATTATTAATTTATTTTTAAACAAAATGTAAAAAAAAATACACACACACCCACCCCCCCTATGGCTGATTGTTTCACATTTGGCAGGCAGGCTTTTCTGATGCAGAAAGGCCTATTTCAGGTGCAGATTTGCATATGCCATCATACAGCTGTCCACTGGTGGCTTGTGCAGCGTGGTAAGCTGTTGTGCACACTCCCCATGCTAGCAGATGTTCAGTACTCCACCCCCCCACAGCCATTACTATCACAGTGCAGCAGTGCTAAGAGTAGGACTGCTCCAGCAGACCAGTGGAATGTTCCCTCCCATTAAGGAACAGACAATGCTCTCTGCCTCATTAGCATACAGCTGACACTTGGGTCTTTTCAGAATAACTATCCCACTGAGCTGCATGTGGTCCCAAGAGAGACAGTCTGACCCAGGAACCAGGCTGCACAGAACAAATGGGTGCCCTGCCCCCAACTTAACCCTTTGACTGCCACACTTCTTGTTCCTCTGTGACCATGTTTGGGTTAACAGTTTATGTGACTTCTCAGAATGCATGCTCCAAGCACTCACTATCACTCTCCAATCAGTACTATTATAATAATGGATATAGCGCCTACATTTCACATAGCGTTGTACAAGCACATGAAAAACTATGACAAATAAAAATACAAAAATTAAGTGGGCCCTGATCAAAAGAGCCAACTCTAAACTGGGGGTTTGGTTTTTATATTTATGTGCAAGTTACAATGATGCAACACATTTCCTCCTATGTACAAAGTATACAGAGAACAAGCAAGCATGGGCACTAAAAAGTTTACATTTCAGAAGAATTGAAAGTCAAATTTTTTTCAAGGGTGGAAGTACAGATGAATGAATGACTAGAATATTAAGAGCAACAACTGGAGTGCATCTGGACCTCAGAGGGTTAAAATATATCAGGCATGCAATTTGGCTATAATAAAACTCTCTCACCTACAGAATTAAGAAATGGTACACAACAGTTTCAGTAAATCATTTGCAAACAGCACAAAAAGTGAAATATCCCACAAATGCATCTTGCAAAAATACCCATCAAATAAGGAACATTAGGTACTTTTTTTTTTTTTCTAAAAGTTGTTTGCAGTTTTGTTTTTTGACTATCAAAATACCCAACATAATGGAACACAAGCATGGTTTTACTTTGCAAAAAGATTTTTTTTTTTTTTTAAATTAAAAATAAAAACTTGCCTAACAACCAACACAAACTTGAAAACTGCAACAGCCATGCACAGAAACATGATAAAATCAGACACATAAACAATACAAAAACACTTTTTGCTAAATATTAGATTGCCTAACCATGCTCATTTAAGCAAAGTGGTTAAACCTAAAAGCAGACCCAGATTTTAATTCACTTCCCAATTTAGACTAAACACTTAAAGTGCACAAATGTTCAGAGAAAAGTATAAAATAATGTCCAGAAACCTAATTATAGGGAATTTTAATAAATAAACCAAAGATTTACCCTCCCCCTTCACTGGAGCATGCTGCAGGAAATAAGAACATTGTGCTGGAACTGAGCCTGGGAATAAACAGAACATGGGGGCAGAGGTGCAGGGGGGTGATCTGGGGAACACCATCGTGCAAAGCAACTCACCTGGATGCAGGACACGACTGGCTCACAATTCACAGCTCACTACTATACCCACTCTTTGTTACCATAGCCTGAAAACTTGAGAATGAGGCAGGCATCTATAGTCGATCGCCGAGCAATCCAGCCAGCTATCTCCTAGACTAGAATGAGCAAAACATTGACAGGGAGACAGGAATCTATTGGATTTCTGCTGATTAAAAGTTCAACTGTACATGGTGACTGCTGAGTTCTAATATTGCAGTTGCAATTATTCATATAACTGGGCTACATTGTATAAAGCAACTTCAGTGAAACACATTTATAGGGGCTGCATGGTAAATTGTAATTAGTTTTTTATTTATTTTTATTGTAATATTCATCCACTCTGTTTGAATCTATATCATTAAACAAAAAATAAATAAGAATAAAACATTTAAAAAATGCACCCCTATGCAGGAGTGAACTGTACAGATAGATAGAATATTTTTACTTGTGACAAACCAACTATGAAGTCTTATTCACAGAACTTCCAGTTTATGGCAAATACAATAATATCACCAATACATTTCAGCAATGACAATGGATGTTTTACATACAATTGGTAAGAGGCAAAATATGATAATTTACTTATATACTGGCCCTTAACATTTCTGAGTATTTTACATGGAATGCAATTGATGTGTATGATGGAATGTCTTCTCCCCCCCGCCCCGCCACTTACCTTTATATTTTTTGTTTATATATATTATGGTTTCTTTTTTCTTTGCACCAATCTCAATATCCAGTTGCCTTCTTATTATTTCCCTGTGTCCAGGAAGTCTGCAGTTTTCCCTTTTTTTTATGGCTTGCCAAGGATCACTCCGCCCAGTGCCAAAGATTGCCAAAGATCATACTTAGCATAAGAAAGACTAGTCTACTTTTTCTCATGCAAAAAGGTGAATTTTAAAACAAACGAGGTTAACAGAGGAAGAAAAAAAAAAGAAATAATTTATGCGAAAAGCCTGCAAGTGACAGTGCTGTTTGAAATTTTCACTTTGGTATTTCTACCTCATTACTGGGTCACTTGAAATGTGGACAGGACGTAGCACTATAATAGAGCTATTCAGGGGCTGATTAAAGAGATTGACAAAGTTCCCAATGTGTGATTGGATAGATTTTATGTCCGTACTACGTTGAGGTTTTCCTGGTGGTGTTTGTATGGGAAGATGGAGCTAGTTCTCTTCTGAGCTGAAACGAATGCTCCAAGCACATTGACCAGTACAGCTTGGGTTCTCAAGGCAGGAGTTACTTGGTACCTCCCATTGAAAGCAGTCAAACCAGTTCAGAATGTTTTTCCTTCCTTTCCACACCCGCAGTCGGAAGTTTAGTCTGAACTAAGCCCTGAGGTGCAAGGCCTAGATAATTAGCTTTGTGAGATCAGCTTATGCTCTTAAACAGTGAGCTAGTGGAGCTTAACTTAGGAGAGCTAAAGGAAACTCCTAAGCAGGAGCATTCTGGCTTTCTGACAGATATTGTGGAGGAGAGAGCGGTGCCCAGCAAACGCCACGTAAGAAGTTAAAACCCTTAAAAATTGGTTAACTCCTTAAAAGGGGGTGCAAGTGCAATCATGGCACTACAGCGTACTTGGAGTGTTCCGCTAGTCACCACTAAAGTGCTACTAATCCAGAAGTATTGTGGAAGAAGAATCACTGATTTAGGTCTAAGGTGGCACTTATATAAGTGCTGACATTATCGTGAGGGAGGTCCAGATTCTAAGCCTGGGCCCAGACACCTCTATTCTCACTACAATGTATATCTTGAAGTGTCTAATATTCTGGCTTGGTTCTAAGTAGATTTGCTTGACCTCTATGTTGTACACCAGGGGTGCCCAAACGGTAGATGTAGATGTTGTAGATCTACAGTTTCCATGATGCTTTGTCATTTTAAAACATTCCAAAGGCACGCAAAGCATAATGGGAGTTGTAGTTCTAAGAGATTTTGGGATCTACCTTTTGGACACCCCTGTTGTATCCCCATTTTTCAACCTCTGTAGTTAGGGTTGCCACATCCACCATGTTTTTCTACACACAAATCACTTTTACAAGCTGATGGGCAGCACATGAAAAATCCCGCTGAGCCGTAAGCATAATTCAGCATATGAATGCTGCATACAGCAAGGCAGCATATTACATGTTCATTAACCTTACAAGGTGGTGTTTCCAAAGAAATTGGCGGATTTGGCAACCTTAGCTATTTTACATCATAAAGAATTCTTTGTTCCTATATATGTAAAAAGATCAATTAGAAATGCACAGTCTAACCTCTAGAAAAATCCAGTTGTTTTTTATTTATTTTTTTGCGCTACGAAAATACAATGGTTCATTAAATGAACAGCATGCCTTAGTCAACTGAAAAACAAATTGCAAAATATAGACAAAAAAAGCTGATTAGGAAAATGAGATTCACAGAGTGGAAATTTTCGCTTAAATTTTATGATACAGTTTTCGGTTCACTGAAATTCACAGTTTAGTAAATAAGTATTAGAGAGTCAGAAGCTTCTGGGAATATCTACTTTACATGAGATTATGGAGAAACAAGCTGTCAATAAACACTGCTAGGACAGTAATTGTTTATTAAAAACATTATATAGTGGAAGTTCATTTAATATCTAGGATTAATATAAATATTAAATGTACTCCTGTTTAATTTATTTTGCAAAGCAAAACACCCTGTTTTCTCCCCGAACCATGTTAAAATATACACTAACAACTGTAAGTGCAGATAAGAACCTGTTGTTTAACCCAGGCTGGCCTTTTTGCCTGCTTCAAACCCAAGATATCAGCAATGACATGCCTTTGACACTTTAGTTACTCAAGGCTAATCAGTTCACTCCTGACGTAACTCTAAGGAAATTACAATAATTATTATTTATAAAGCACCAACAAATTCCGCAGCGCTGTACAATGGGTGGACTAAAAGACAAGTATTTGCAACAAGACAAGTTGGACGCACATGATCAGAGGGTGTAGAGGGCGCTGCTTAAACATGCTCACATTCTAGAGATCTCACAAACCAAGCTCTTTGAACCCCAAGTAATGAAGGGGACCACATCAACAGCCAGTCATAGATGCAGGGTAATTTTTATGCATGGGCACGCTGGACTGTTGCCCATTGGCCCCACAAGCATAGGGGCTCAACCGCGTTGCCCATGTGCCAAAGCTGACAGGGGAGATCATTTCATAATTTCTGTCGGCAAAAAGTTGGATCTGCCCCACTGGCATCTGGATTCTTCATGTAGAAGAAAGGAGGGAGGACCTGGGAGGCAGATCGTTCCTCCTGCGAGCAGGCTGTGTGGAGTATTTCCGCCCCCCCATGTGACATCACAATGCCCCACCCATATGATCTGCCATGTTAACTAACGCCAGTGGGGCAGTGCCGCCGTGTTTACATTAAAAGGCCTGCAGGGACAGGCTATAGACACCAGAACCACTACATTAAGCTGCAGTGGTTCTGGGGACTATAGTGTTTCTTTAATGTGAGGTAAATTAGAGATTAGTGCCACGAATAATATACTAGATTGCCTATTTACAACCAGTTGAGTATGATGATGGGCTGTAGCTGCAGTCTGGCTCCACTGGTCTGGTGTAGAACAGGCTCTCTGGAGGCTGTTTGTAACTGTGGTCACAAAAATCAATGTTCTGGGGGAACGGGAAGCAGCTCCATTTTGTGGGGGCCCTTTACACAGCTCAAGGTCTGGGTCCCAGGGTCCATCTTCATGTTCCACCAATGAGTTTGTTCACAGGGGGTGGAGTGTGTAGGGGATGTCCTGATATGTGTGTAAGGAATGCATTGTGTGAATCTGTGTTTGTATGTGTAAGGGCTGCAAAGTGTGTTTCTGTGTAGGTACCGGATGCAGTGTGTGCGTCTGTAAGGGGTGCATTGAGTGTGTGTAAGGAATGCATTGTGTGTTACTGTGTGTGTAAAGGATGCATTGTGTGTAAGGGTTGCATTGCTTGTGTGTGTGTCTGTGTGTGTAATACATTGTGTGTTTTTCTGTGTGCAAGGGGTGCATGAGGGGGGCCGGCGCTCCTCGTAGTGCCCCTTCCCAAGGGGCGCCCTAGGCGGCTGCCTAGTCCGCCTAACAGGTAGCGCCGGCCCTGCCCTCACACACACACACTGTACCCTCTCACACACACACTGCATCCTCATACACACTGCACCCCATCACACATACACACTGCACCCCCACACACACATACTTCACCCTCACACACACATTGCACCCCCTCGCACACACACTGCACCCCCTTAAAGACACACATTGCACCCCACCATATCACACACATTGCATCCTAACACACACACTACACCCGCTCACACACATATACTACACCCCCTCACACACACTACACCCCCTCACATACACTACACCCGCTCACACACACACTGCACCCCCTCACACACATCATCACTACACCCACTCACACACACACTGCACCCCCTCACACACAGCATCACTACACCCGCTCACATACACACTGCACCCCTTCACACACACACTGCACCCCTTCACACACACTGCACCCCTTCACACACACTCCACACTCTCACACACATTGCATCCTCACACACACTGCATCTCTCACTGTAGTCTGTGTATTTAGAAGTCTGTGTGTGAGTTTATTCAACTGTTTGTGTATATGTATTCAGCAGTCTGTGTATGTATTCAGCAGCCTGTCTGTGTGTGTACTCGGCAGTCTGTGTATTCTGCAGTCTGTAGGTGCGTACTCAGGAGTCTGTCTGTGTGTATTCAGAAGTCTATGTGTGTATGTATTCAGCAGGCTCTGTGTGTATGTATTATATGTAAGTATTGCATTTGTTGGATGTACCAATAAATATAAGCTTAATTTTATCGATAATTTTATTTTTGATTCCTATGAGTGGTTGTGTAGACAGGACCCTAGTGCCCCACTTTGCCAGGGGCCTATAATGCTGTTAAGATGGCACTGCAGAGATGTACAGCAGGAAATGCACTAGTAAGCAGCTCTCCGACATGCTTGTTGCCAGTGTGCTGTTGAAGCGTTCTTGCATGAGCTGATTGCCCTAATTGCAGTCTAATGACATGCTCATGTCGCACTTACAGGGGACATTACTTGTCTCCACAGAAGCA